TTTGAGCCCCACGCTAGGTGTACAGACTACTTTAAAAAAAAGGAAAAAAAAAAAAACCTTTACATATTGAGAAAAATAGTTATTGTTTGCTATAACATAGGGCGGGCAAGGAGGAACGTGGTGTACGTGTGTCTTGAGTTGGGGCGGGCATGCATGAATCCCGGTGTCTGTCTAGAGCTGTCAGTGCCCCCAGTAAACAGTTGGGGCACTGGTTGGTGTTCCCCGTGTCCAGGAACCTACCCACTCTGCTGGGCATCCTGACCCCTCCTCCAGAAGGGCCTGACTGGGCCTTCACCAGGAAGCCTTTTCAGCCAATGGTGTGTACCTGTCCTTGGCCACAAGATGTCACCCAAGGAACAGCAAAGCAGGAGCCTGGGAGGAAACTGGCCCAGCCCAACAGCAACCCAGGAAACAGCAAGTCCTAGCCTTTCTCACATGGCCCCCACCCCGGGGAAGCCTCAGAAGAGCCAGCAAAGGTGGGCATGCTGCGGTGGGTTCAAATCCCAGACTTCCTGCAGGATAGGACACTGTTGTCCCAGAGAACACTGGTTTGTAGCTCCCACCCCAAATTAATAAATAGGTATGATAATACCCACTACAGACTAGGATTAAACAGTGCCTGGGGAGCAAGGGTCAGGAGAGGGTGGTGCAAACGGACAACCGAACTTGGGTGTGAGCGGGCTGCCCCTGGGGCTGGCGCTCAGCAGGGTCCCTGACATCCTCCATCCCCATCCTGTGCTTGGTAAGGTGTGGGGGGCACACGCCTGAGAGGCGACACTGTGGCATATCCTCTGCCCCTCAGGGCATGCATCCCCAGGCTCCCTCTTCCTGGTGACTCCATCTCGCTGGTGGTTCAGCTCCACATGGCTCAGCAGGCCCATACCAATTCTTCGCGTAGCAGCCACCTGGTGCCTGGATCTGGAACAGGGAAGAAGTGGGAGGAAGGGCATGACCCCAGCCCTGGCGGCCCTGGGGCAGCCCCAAGTGAACCACCCCAGTGGTGGGCAGGCTGCAGCCTGGAACCCGGGGACACTGTGCTCAGCCAGGGGTGCGCAGCAGGAGACATCGAGGGCCAACCAAATGCCCTGGTGTCTCCAGACCTGAGGACCAGCTGCAGCTGGAGAACCCAGGGATCCTGGATCCCCGGCCTGAGCCCGAAGGGCCTGCAGACCTTGACCTTGGCCCGGAGGCTGAGCATACAGTCTAAGTTCCTTGCAGACGGGACTTGGTATGACTGTGCCCACACTTTGCTGGGTGCAAGGCTCCTTATCAGTTCCTCCACCAGCTGGGGCTACAGAGGTGGAGGCCAAGGGCTTTGGGGCGAGGTGCCTTCCCAGAGGATGTGAAGATGGGGGAGGGAGAGGCCCTGTCCCTACAGGGGCTGAATTTGGGAAGAAAAAATAGTGAAATCTCCCTGCCGAGGAGCTACTACAGTCTGTCCTCTCCTCCACCCCCATCTGCAGACATTTGGGGACACCTGCCATTTGGGGTGGGACAGTGCCTGGAGAGCATGGGTTCCGTGGCGATCACTGCTTTGCAGAGAAGCGTACAGGGAATGAGGCCTCACTGGCGACAGAGGGAAGGATGGGGGCTCCTGGGGCGGGGGGGGGGGGTCTGCCTTCCTCTCTTTGAAGCCGGATTGGTAGGGAGGGGCGTTGAAACCGGAGGGCGCAGTAAGGGCAGACAGAGGCTTACAAGCAGGCGAAGCATGACAGTTCGGGGTAGAGGTGAGAGTTTTGAGGCCCCAGTGGGAGCTGGAGAAGAACAGAGGCATAAGGTTGAAAAGTAGGTTGGAACCAAAATAGAAGAAATAAGATTTTAGGCAGAAGAGGAATCTGATCAGACTTGATCAATTCTAAGGGCACCTAAGAGAAAGGGCGAGAGGGAGGCGGTTGTGAGAACAGAGGTGGGGAAAAGCGGCTGTGGTGGTGGAGGCACACTCAGGAGTCGCTCAGGAGGTCTCGGCGGTACAGAGATGGGGGCAGCGAAGAACCCCAGAGGCAGGACCGCAGGCACATACTCACTCAAGTATCCAAATCCGGAAGGTTTTAAGCTGCAGAAACTGTTGCACTATGCTTAGGATTCACGATCACATGTAGGTTCACAATGGAGCCTTTGAGTTAAAACTGGGTTCCCTTCGAGTGGTTTCTGTGCTCCTCGGCTGACCGTGCCTGGAATGTCTAGGGGCCTAGCCAGGGCTGCCCCCTTTCCGTGACCTCCACAGTGTCCGTGCACTTTAGCTCTATCCCTCAGTTAGATGATAGCACAGGAGAACTATTTCAAGATTCTATATATATAATCGTAATATACATGTGACCAAACCAGAGACCGGAAGAGTCATCGAGGTGAGAGAGCCCAACTCAGGAAGGGGTCACATGCCTCAGGTCTGCTTAGAGGCAGAGCTAAGATCGGAACCGTCTTCAGGCTCCTGCACCAGGCACTGTGACCAGACACCACTCAACACCGTGGCTTTTCAGGAGGTGGCAGGAGTCTTCCAGGGAGGGGAAAAAAAAAAACAACCTTCTTCAGGCTGGTGGGTGTGGTCCAGGTTCGCGGTGGGGGTGGTGCTGGAAGGAGGCCCTTATCGCCTTCCCTTTCTGTCGTCTCTCCCGTTCCTCCCCACTTGCCTCCTTCCCCTTCCTCGGACTCACTCCACACTCGCTCCCCCGGCGCGGGCCCTGTCACTAGCATCGCCACAAGAGAGGGAACACAGGGTTGTTGGTGATCAAGAAGTGAGGTGAGCAGGAGGGAGGAAAATAAATCCAGGGCTTGGAATCCACAAAGGGACTGAGGGGACCCAAAATAGGGGATGAAGGAAGCGAAGGTTCTCTCGCTGTCAGCAGGGCCAGGCCCAAGCTGCTTTTTGGGAGAAGCCGAGTCAGAAGCCAGGGGCTGCTGGAACCGATGCTGTCATTTCACACAGGGACACCAGTTACGAAGGGAAAACAAAACACAACAGAAATGGAAGAGACATGTTGAAAGCAAAGAAAACAGGAAGACTAGATAAGTATCTTTTCGTACCGAAAGTTGAACACTGAGATCCTCTGGGGATGTTTAGCCATTTGAGGTTTGGGGAAGAGAGTTTTTACATAACCACACGGGTTATAAAGAAAACACTTGGGCTTAAGCAAATAAAAACAGCCATCCTTAAGAGGATAAATTGGACTGGCTGTCTGGCAAATTTCTCCTTTAAAAGAGCCTGTCTTCCTCACACCTGTTACCCTTGTAGGTCTTGGAGCCAAGCCTTTAGGAATTGCACACCTTCTGCAGTGGATCCCAAATTTTAACGAGCATCAGAGTCAGATGGGGAGCTTGCTAGGAATGCAGATTGCTGGGCCTTCCCCCAGAAATTCTGATTCAGGGGCTATGGGGGGCAATCACAAGCTTATGGACATCCCCAGGTGGGTGGTGCAGATGGGCCACTGGTTCATGCTTTGTGAAATGTTGGCTCTCTGGGCGCTTCTCAAACTTCCCTGAGAACGTCACCTGGAGGACTCATTTTTGTTTTTATAGAAGATACTTTTAATTATTAAAAATTATAAAGAATGTATATGATTTGGAAATAAGACTACCACACGACAGCCAAATAAGAATCGTCCAGGGGCGCCTGGGTGGCTCAGATGGTTAAGCGTCTGCCTTCAGCTCAGGTCATGATCCCAGGGACCTGGGACCGAGCCCCACATTGGGCTCCTGGCTCAGCGAGGAGCCTGCTTCTCCCTCTCCCTCTGCCTCTCTCCCTGCTCATTCTCTCTCTCTGTGTCTCAAATGAATAAATAAAATCTTAAAAAAAAAAAAAGAATCATCCATCCCATGCCTTTGTTTGGTCCCTCAGAAATAAAATGTTATCAGCTAGGACTGTGGTTGCTGGTCACCTTCCACTGTTTGTATCTGTGAGTTCACCATAGTCTACTTCCCCTTCCCCATAAATTGAAGACCCTTCTTCATATGCCCACAGGCCCCATCTCTGAGACCCGCCTGGAATAACGATATACCGTGCCATGTCATCTTTTGACTGACATCACCCCCTTGTATGCTTCACTATTCCCTCATTGCCACATCTCATCTGTTGCTGGAGAAAATGCTGTGACTGGGTGTTTTCTTCCGCCTGTCTCATGACGGGGTCCTGACCACTGCCCTGGTAAACGCACATGATTCGGAGATCTTCCGAGAACCAAGCTGCCAACTTTTCCAGACTCACGTCTGCAACACTGATCAAGTACCTGTAATACAGGTCTTTGAAAGGTGGCTTCTGTGTTTCTTTTAAAATTTAATCTTTGGTCTTTTCCTGACTCTCTAGCCCAGATAGCCTAGAGCCAGGATGTAAAGGATGTAAAGATGCCTGGTTCCAACCTCAATAAATTCAGATTTACAAACAAGAGTACCAGATGATTCTCAAGAGGGAAGTTTGGAAAACAATGGTTTACAGAACTCCCTAAGGCACAATTTTGGGTCCCACTCCTGGAGATTATAATTCATTTGGTCAGAGTCAGGACAGATCCCCTGACTGAATTCCCCAGGAATGACTAAGAAACATCAGTGGCTACATATCTGATTCAACAGCCCTGGTTACAAAATTTCTGTCAAACCTACAAATTAAGAGGGGCAAGGAAAGCTGAGGTGAAAATGTCCTGTTTTTAAAAATCACATCAGAAGGGGTGCCTGGATGGCTCAGTCAGTGGAGCAACTCTTGATCCCAGGGTCGTGAGGTCAAGCCCGTCGGGCATAGAGATGACTTTAAAAAAATCACATCAGGGCGCCTGGGTGGCTCAGTTGGTTAAGCGACTGCCTTCGGCTCAGGTCATGATCCTGGAGTCCCTGGATCGAGTCCCGCATCGGGCTCCCCGCTCAGCGGGGAGTCTGCTTCTCCCTCTGACCCTCCCCCCTCTCATGTGCTCTCTCTCTCTCATTCTCTCTGTCTCAAATAAATAAATAAAATCTTTAAAAAAAAAAAAAAAAGAATCCAGCTAAAATATTAAAAAAAAAAATCACATCAGATACTCTTTTCACAGGAACATAAAATTTAATGGTTTTGGCCAGCAATATGCTGAATTCCTAGTTAACAGAAATAAGTCTACTGTGGTTTTCATGTTCGGCATCTACAACAAGTTCAATGACTTGGAACTGAGAGCTATTCCCACATGTGGAAGATGTTTTCAGGATCCCCACAGCCAGAGATTTTTCTGGTCTCTTTGGTCAATTTTTTTTTTAAAGTCTATGTACTGCATTTTGGTACCCCAAGAAGATGGAAAAGGATTCTTCTGGAATGAAATGACTGAAGCAAAAGCTCTTTAATGAATCCTTACATCTCTAGGCAGAGGACACATTTATAGCCAAGAAGCACTTCTGAGAAATGATCTCGCTTCTCAGGATCGTGACACATCTTACAGGCAGCACTACAGGGAGGCCTAGCTCAACAGTGACACAGCTCAACATCCTTCGGGAAAGGCTACGGAGCCACTCACTGGGAGACAGGGGTTGAGTGGGTAAAATGTTAACAGGAGTCCAAGCACATAGGTAATGCCAAGTTGGCAAGAAAAGTTGGATTCTATTTTCAGTTTTAGGCAAGTGATAGCATTGACTTTAATATTGAACAGACTGAATGAAAATGAAGCCCTAATCAAAATTTTTAATGTTTCCTTCTAAATGAAGTGCAATCAATATAGGGAAAGCACCTTTCCACCAGTGAGGGAAGCCTGCAGAGTGAGCTTGTGACAAGGGCTCCTTGTCTGATAGCACCTCCCCTCAGCTGAAAAGATTAATAAAGGCTTCAGTGAATACCGTGATGGGGACTTCTGTTCGCAGAACTAAGGCTGATGAGTAGCTACCAAATACAAGAGTCAGATAGAAACTGTGTGGAACCAGTAAATGTTCACCATCGCCTTAGTAACCGCGAGTTCATGCTCATTCCTTCCCGAACCACACTTAACAAATATCCTTAGACATTCAGGCAAAAAAGACAAGTGTGAATTCATGGAGAAATTAGTAATATTTGAAGTCAAAGAAACCTTCAGAACTGCTTCTGCATATAAAATAGATGATGGAAACATAAAATCCAGTGAATTCAACTGCTCTCCCTTTTTAATCAGCTTTACAGAATGATACATTAGTCATCACATTAGAAGACAGGAGGAGTTTCCTGTACATATACAAGATTGTGCAAGCTCATTAACTGAGGCTTAGAGAAGGTTTTATCAGTTTCAAGAGGAGAGGCAGTACAACGCTTTGTAATACAGGTGAAGCACAAGAATACGGTAAACAAGACAGAGTATCAGCTCAGCAGAGGTGAATTCTTAAGGCGTGTGGCCGCTGCCCACACTATCTGCCAAAACCCGGTAGAGAGGACTTCCTCCCTCTTGAACTTAACCTTTGCTGAGCGCAGGCCTGTGGGACACACCAGCTCCACGGTGACTCCACACCAACCATGACACTGAAGCAAACTATGTTTTCCTTTCTCCGAGTGTTCTCAGGAGGAATAAAGCTATTTCTGGTCATCCTACTTCTTGGGTAACCTACATTCTAAAATATATTAAGTATTAATCGGGCAAAGTTCTCAAGCATTTTGGCATTCAAAATATTTCAAATGTCTCATCACTGTTAACCTACTAAAAATTCTTTGAGCTTCAACAAGATTGTTTCTGATCCGCCCCCCAATGATGGCAATCGCATACAGAATACATCCACTAGACTTAAAAGAACTAAAAAGACAACAAATACAGACTTCTCCTTAAAGAAATAAAGCGAGAATGGAGACGCAGGAAGAGAAAGTCTAAGACACACATGGAGGAAGCTAACCCCACTACATTTCTATCACTTCTATGTAATCCACTAATAATTTTGAGCAAGTGTGGTCCAACTTCCCCTTTCCACAACCCAGTCACATCAGAGAAAGGAATCTTTTAAGTTTAGTCTCCCCCATTTTAATTATGTAGTTGACCTTTACTCGGCCCAAATTGGAATCCCTATGGCAGGTGACTCGACAGAGGTGCTGGATGGGCACGCGCAGTCGGCTACAGGGTCTCAGCACAGCCTGGCCACTGTCTGGGCCCGGTTTCTGTTCTCTTGCTCATGCACCTCAGCAACACGTATACTGAAAGTCCGTGTTAGACAAAGGCTTCCAGGACACAACAGGAAAAGAAAAACCATGCAACACGTCTATTTTCAATCCCTCACAAAGCCTAATTCTCTTACTACAGCGATTTAATATCTGTATTAAAAAAAAGGCTTTCATCAGCAGGTTTTTAAAAGAAAAATCAGAAAAAAGCAATTACTGTGGCTGAGATGTGAACTAAAGTAGAGAAAGTAAACAAAATATTTACCAGGTTTTAATAAAAAATAATTTCACAAGGAAACACAATCTTCAATCTGTACTCCTGTCTCCAGAAGCAGAATATTAATACAAAATACAAACTCATTTCTCATTAGAGAAGTTAACTGCATAAGATTTCAGTGAACTGAGCCACTCTCTCTCCATTTAACATTATCGTTGCAAATTCCATGTAAGAATCAGTGGCTACTGAATGTCTCCTGTGGGTGATTTTACACTTTTGCACTAATCCTTCATACAAAACAGGTACTGGGAGGAAGTGTGGTAAGAACCGAGGAACAACTATTCCTCCTTCCTGAAGGAGCGAAATCCAATCGCTGGCTGTCTCACGCCCTACCATGGCCATGTGTTACCAATTCCTCTATTCAGAGATCAGCACCGTAATGAGTCATGATGCCACATGAAACCGGCAACAGTGAATGCTGGTTTGTCCGTGCTCCTAACCGGGTTTCCAGCGGGAAACTTCGCTGCTCCTTAAACAGCGGGGCTGCGCTGCCCTGCCAGCACCTGAGGCGAGACTCAAGCCCCTGCCAATCTCCGGTGTCGTCTGGTGCCAGGTCTGTGGGCTTCTACCCTCACCACTGGCTCTAGCGCCGCTCAGCTCTTACCTCCTGCCTCCAGCGCAGCCCGAAATCCCCCAACTCACCACCTTCTCCTCCCCAGGAAAGAGCCCTGTGCCACGTCCACAGCTTCTCATCTATTTCCACAGTGATAACACAGCAGAGATGTAACACCATTTGGAGAAAAAAAATCTCTATGAAGTCCCGTAATAATGCATTCCAACTATTCCAAGTCTTCTACTGACTTAACATTTATTGAATCAAATGCTGAAGTAAATGGACTCCCCCTCGGGTCTTAGAAACCGTGTCAGACTGTTAAGTCTCTGTAAAGTGTTTAGGATAGGATTTGACAATCTAAATACCTAGGCAAGTTTGACAGTTACAACCCATGAAGTGCAGGACTCCACAGATTGCTTGACCTAACATTCCAAGGACATTTTGTAGTACTAGTTTAATTCTGATCTCTCCCTAAAAGACAGAAACCACATCCCACACTCCTATGCAACTTGTTATTTTGGTATTTTAAAATAAATGAATGAGAAGAGGTGGAGGCATAAAGAAAATCCGGCCTCTTTAGGCACAATTAAACACAGAGGTCTTGGAGAGAAGAAGACAGCCTCTGTATTCATCTGCTCAAGGTTGTTTGTCACAGTTCCCTTAAAAATGCCTAGAAATGCTGCCCGCAACAAGGGACTCAAAGTATGGGACCGGGTGTGTTATAAAAGCAGCTCACCATGTTTAGGAAACATACAAAGTGAAACCAGTCAGTCATGACTTATGTACAAGACTTGTGCTTGAAGCTTTGGTGTGCCTCCTTGGCCAATTTCTCAGACACCAAAACCCACTCCTGATTATCAATATACAATCAAACCAAAATACTGAAACATAGACTTTTGTTCAGAAGAGGGAAATAAAGGCACAGAAACCTGCCAAAATATTTTTTTTCCATAAGAATAATATGGTTGATTAAAATAGTTTATCACTAGTAAAACTTGTATCACTAGAGCAGACAATACAAATTAGTTTTTAAAAAAAATGACATTCACTGAATTCCTGGTCTGTCATTCAATGTGAATAATCATCAAAAATATATTACAATCAAAGGTTTGAAAGGAGTTCTGTTTGGGGTTTCTACACTGTATTCAGTATTTCAGATAAGAAGTACCACAGTAACGTATCAGGTGTCTACTGTTCCTTTGTACACAATGCATGGCGATTAAAGGGTCTACCTCCTTCCTCCTGCAGGCTCAAAGACGTCCGTGGTGAGGAATGTCTAAGTGATGGTTATACCCCTCATCAAAGGCAGCCTTGTGCATCAAACTCCACACCTAGAAAGTTCAGGAAACTGTTTTCCACTTTAATTAATATTTCTGTGTATTTGTTTGTTGCTTTTAAGCTCAGCTTAAACTTTGTCCAGGAAACCATTTCACAAGAGGGTACGTCACAACCTACTATCAGCAATATTCCTTGTTTATTAGAATCTGAAGATGTCCATATTACATCAAATATAAATATATATTATATTTACATTTCCTTCTTAGCTTTTCAATCTAGGTGAGTATATTTATAGATAATGCCACTAATGTCACCACCATTATAATTCTCAGTGCAACTGGTATTCTCCTTCCATTAGATGCATGTAAGATTAGACAGCATCTAAAAAGAGGTGTACTGTTCTTTTTATTTTTTTAAATAAAAGGAAAGAATGGGTATCCATGAATGGAGATCTAGGAGTTTTCTAGATTTTGTTCTGTTTTTTAATATTTCAAAATACCTGAAAAATGTGGTCCCTTTTTGCAGTACTAATTCTCTACTTGGGACAAGAAAATAACCAAATACGCAACAGAAAGGAAAAGAACCCAAAGAAAAGAGAACCTGCTTGTTAGCTCATTAATCTGTTTAGTAAAGATCTGTTTTAAAATGTCTGAATACTGTACAATATGATACAAAAACAATCTTCAGCCTTCCAAGCAGCTGGTACATTTTCTAAGAGATCTGTTTGCCCGCCTAACAGTTTGCGGCCTTGGTGGGCCTTGGTCTTGGTCACTTTCGGTCGTCGATAGTTTTAATGAACTCCACTGCCGCTGTGAACTGCATCCACCAATAGGATTCCTCCCCAGACAGACAGCTGGCATAAAAGCTACTGATATACTGGACAGTGGACAGCAAGCAGGGCGGATTTGCCTAGAGAAGTGAAAAATAAGAGAGTCAAATACTCAGATGTAGAGCTCTGCAAAAATCATCTAAGTTAACATCTTCAAATGTTTTTCTGTGGAAAAGCTACCAGTCCTTTTTGAAAATAATGCCCAAATTCTTCTCTGGAAGCGATTTATAAACCCTAGCCACTATGAGCAACAACAGTATACTGGAAAGGCAACTTGGGTTCTAGGGCCAGCTGAACTATCTAGCTATCTAGAGCTTTCCATCCTTATAAGTCACTGAAGCTTGCTGGTCCCTAAGGAGGCTGAACTCATCCTAGCAGACCTCCTCAACATCCCAGGATTCCAAAATGTTAGATAAGGAAATAAATGCTATACGCCAAGTGAGTTAGAAGTCCGGGCAGAATCAGCAGAGAAAGAAAAAAACTAAAAAGAGAACATGCCCTCTGTTGCCAGAGGTAACACAGAACATCCACTGCTTTTTGACTTTCTTAAGGGGGAAAGGATGGACACAAGTGTTTTAAGTGGTTGGGAGAAGCTAAGGCCTTTGCCTCGGAACACGTTCAAACGGACTCTGCACAAGAACTAGTCACACCACATGTGGAAGAGAGGAGAGTGAGGCCAGCAGCAGGAGTTATGAAGGCTGACCGCACACGGATCCTATGGGCTGTTGATGGAGCTAAGAGTTCAGACTGCAGAAATACCACAAATACGGGTGGGGGGGGCGCCTGGGTGGCTCTGTCGGTTGAGTGTCCAACTCTTGATTTTGGCTCAGGTCATGATCTCAGGGTTGTGAGATCAAGCCCCATGTCAGGCTCTGTGCTCAGTGCAGAGACGGCTTGAGATCCTCTCCCTCTGCCCCTCTCTCCTTCCCCCCCCAAAATAAATAAAATAAATCTTAAAAAAAAGAGAGAGAGATGTCAGTACGTTTTAAAATAACATGGCACAGGCGCCTGGGTGGCTCAGTCATTAAGCGTCTGCCTTCGGCTCAGGTCATCATCTCAGGGTCCTGGGATCAAGTCCCACATCAGGCTCAAGCCTGCTTCTCCCTCTCCCACTCCCCCTGCTTGTGTTCCTGCTCTATCTCTATCTCTGTCAAATAAATAAAATCTTTAAAAATAAAATAAAATAAATAAAATAATATGGCACAATTACAAAATAAGAGGCTAAAAGAGAAGAGAGGTATTTGGGAGACTTGATACCTCACGTGACAAGCACTAGGAAGAATTCAATGTGGAAGGAGATGGGAAAAGCACAACAAAAAGAACTTGCCCTCATTCATTCCTTCATTCATTCACTCAGTAATTACAACCAAGCTCCAACCAAGAACCTCAGGCACGTAACAGCTGGAAATGTTCATCTAGCAATCTGGTCCTCCTATTCTTTCTTCTGAAAACTTTAACTTCTGGATAGAACCAAACTTCACATTAGACACTTTCTTTCTGGGTAACACAGAGCTTGAGACTGGGAAGAGCTGAGGTCTCTGGAGCATGGGAAGACCTGCACCACCCTGCTTAGAAATGCCAAATAAACTCTTTTCATTAGTAATAGTAAGGGGCCCACCTTTATCAACACAAATACCAAAACAGGGACAAAGTCATCTGCTCCAGGGACGGAGTCCTCATTGGCTAGGCTCAGGAGGTTCATGATGGTGGAGCACATTCGCAGAATGCACTGCACTTTGTCGCGGGGGGTCTTGTAAGCACTTATTGTCCTGATTTCCGACTGTGCAGATGGCCATGGGGCCTCCCGAAGATAAACCTAAGTGAGACCAGAGACAGACAGACAGATCTTGAATCTAACAGCAACCACAGGAAGCCACCATAGCAACCTCCATGTCAGGAAGCAGAAGGGCAAGCTTGGTGCCTTTTCCTTTCTTCACTAAAGCCAGATTGCTGCTCCTTCCCCTCCCACTAAGACTGAAGCTTAATTTTTAAACTTTTAAATAATTTGCATTTTCGAATAAAGCAACCCAGATATCCATTAATGGAGGAAAGGGCATACGATAACACCCAACCTAGAATTCAAAAAATTTCAAATACTTCTCTTTCTTAAGCAGCTAGAATGGAACTTCTCTACATGTAGTAGCTGATTCTAAAAGCACAAACAAGCTACTTCTGAAAGAAAACAATTTAAAAATACGTACATTTGTTGCAGTAGCTCTAGAAAAGAACAGATTCAAAAAGGCAAAAGACAATTTAAAAACTCATGCTAATCAATATTTCATTAGTGGGGACTTTTAATAAAACAACCAGAGAGCTCAAATACCTGAAATTTTCCTATTACTTTGTAAAACTGTATGACACTACAAGGTAATTGTGACGTCACATTCGGATTTAATTTCCTCCCCTGGAATAACAGTAGTCACACTCTGTGGAGTGTCACCAGATCCCTTATTCAAATGGGACTTTTCTGCAGAAACAGGACTATAAAAACATCTATGGAGGGGGAGCCTGGGTGATTCAGTTGGTTAAGTGTCCGACTCTTGATTTCGGCTCAGGTCACGATCTCAGGGTCGTGAGACAGAGCCCTGCGTCCGGAGCCTGCTTAAGATTCTCTCTCTCCCTTGGATCCCCTTCATCACGATCTCTCTCTAAAACAAAGAGAACACCTCCATGGGGAGCACGGCAGCGGGAGGCGGGGTGGCTTCAGGGCCCTCAGTGCAGCCTCCTCCTCACCTCCCCGCTGACGTGCTGTTCCGTGCCAGGCAATTTTAACCCTAGGACCTTTGAGAACTTCACAGTTGGACTTACAGCTAATGCGAATTGTGCTTTATAATTTATTACGTTCTGTCTCCGTGCATATGGAATAGGACCACCCGTGCCGTATACACGTGCATTACCTCTGGTATCTGAAGAGCTCTGTGATTTGCAGTCACTACTTTAGACAATCTCTGAATATGTTCATGAAGAACCCTGCAAACCCCCCAAAACACATATGTAAATACATATTTCAGATAATAAGGTACACAAAGAGTCATAATTGGCTTTTTCAAAACATTTAAACTTATTTTGAAATACAGATCACAATTACAGTTGAGAGTATCTCTTAGCTCTAAGTATTCTCTTGTCAAAAAGAGTCTCACACTTAGGATCTGCTTAGAAATGCTAAGTGAGCTGAGGGGAGACAAGGAGAGGAGGGAAGTCCTCCTTCCCAGCCGAGGACAGCACATTCCAAGGGACAAAGGAGAGGAGGCCCAGCCCAGAAGCCACCGGGGGACGCGCTAATTAATACAGAGCACAGAGGAAGTACAGGGATCAAAAGCCAGAAACCAAAGATGACAGAAGTTTAGATCGAGAAGGGCTCTTGAGAACACTCAAAACTCTCTCTCATTTCAGAGATGAAAATAATCAGGCTTAAAAAGGTGAAGGATCTGCCTAAGGTCACACACAGATTAGTAGCAGGGGCTACACCCAGCTTTCTTGGTTTCTACTGTTCTTTCCAGAATACTATGTTAACTGTCCACTCTGTAACACCTGCAGAAATGCCATGGAGGAGGGCGTAGGAATAATCTGCTTCAAAGCTACTCTTTGAGGTAAATAGTTTGACTGTCCCTAACTCCTTACCCCATTCTGGAAGCCAAAAACTGGTCTCTGGAGAGAAAACAGGTCCCATTTGGCAAAGTAAGTACAGAAGCCTGGGCAGATCTCTGAGAGTATGAACCAGTGGGAGAGGCAGGCTGGAACAATCCTAACCCATTCACTGAACATGTACGCAAGATCTTAGCACTTCCATGAAAGAATCCTTCTATAAATCACTCACGCATCACCCCGAGGTCCTATCACATGGACCCCTTGAGAGCCACTGGCACAGTAAGCCAGTGTTACTGCTGGGGTGCACAGAAGCCACTTCAACATGCTTGGGGGAGAAACAGGGTTGGAAAGCAGTGCTCAAGAAAATGCAAACAAGGAAACGTGAAAATACGAAATCATCCCTAGTCTCATTACTGAAAATATAACCCCTGTTACCACTCCAGGTATTTTTTTTTCCAGGATTAATTTTTTTTTTAGGATTATTTTTTTAAATCTGCTTTATTGAGACATAATTCATACACCATACATTTCCAGATATTTTTTCATACCCAAACGTAGAGCTTTTCCTTCCTACTAAACAGATAATGAGCATATGGAAGTCAGGCACTGTGCATGATGCTGCGGGAGAGTGGTGAATAAAAAGCATGATGTTCCTGCTCTTGTGGAGCCGAAGACGCAGTGGAGGAGAGCGGCGCTCACCAGATGACCACACACAGCGGTGATCAAGAAGGGGGTGATTCTGCCCCCCTGAGGGGCATTCGGCAGTGCCTGGAGACATTCTGGTTCTCACAGCAGGGGGTACTACGGGTATCTAGTGTGTTCAGACCAGGGCTGCTGCTAAACATCCCACAAGGCACACAGCAGCCTTCCACACCAAAAAACTATCTGACCCAAAATGTCAGTAGCACCAGGCGGAGGAATGTCAAAGCGCAACGGTGGCAAGTGCTAACAAAAGGTACACAGGCCCAGGAGAGCCCTGCCAGGGACAGGACCCAGCCGGAAAGGCCAGGGAAGAAGCGCTGCAGTCAAGATCTGAAGGAAGAGAAAGGAGGGGAGAACAAGCTGGTTTGGAAGAGCAGCGGTGCCCTCCAAAAGGCCACAGCAACTGAGACACCCTCCGGCCTCATTCCCACTGCCCTGAAAACAGAGTTACCCTTCTTTCTGATCTTGGAATCAGATGGGTGAAAAATGGTAACACACACTGCCTTCACTGTCACCCACTAAGTCTCAGCACAGCTGCTGTGAACATGGGAATGGCTGATGTACCCCTACGCAGTCAACCCGGGCGCAGTAAACATGGGAGTGCTCACTGGTCACGAAGTATGTCCCCATCCTGGTTAGGGTAGAAAGCAAGCTTGAAAATCCGATTCATCACACTGCGTTCGATGGCCAGCTGAGCGTCCTGAAGCTGCTCTTCACTCGCATTCTGCCATATGACATCCTGGGCCATCGCACCATAAAGGAACTGCAGAAAATCTTCTACCTGAGCAGTTTTATCATCAGCTGCTGTGAGTTGCTGAAAGTCTCCAATGCAAAATAACAATTTTTTAAATACACTATCTGAATAACTTTAAAAAGGAAATTACAGAAATCATTTTAATAACTAGCTATGCAGATGTTATGCACTTAAAGCCAAAAGTATCTGGGTAGGGTTTATTTTAGGAGAATACGTGGCCAAATCATTAAAATCGGGAGAAACGTAAGAAATATGCAAAAGTTTAAGAGCAAGGGGTTTGTTACAAAAATGACATACTTTGACTAATGTACTGAATCACTATACTGTACACCTAAAACTAAGACGACACTGTACATTAATTATAGTGGAATTTTAAAAATAAATATTAAAGAGTAAAAACTAAAAAAATTTTAATGATATGCTTTGTTTTTGAATATGAGAAGAATTTTGCGGATCCAAAACTTTAACCAATTTTCCCAATTTTGTATAAACTACAGATATTCGATCCATGATAAAAATGACATTTACTGGTTCGACATCAAGGTTTAATGATTAAGAATCCATAAGACACCTGGGAATTTAAGGGACTACTAGTCTTAGACACACAACTGCTCACACAAGCAATACAAAGATGTCCGCATCTCCCCACTAACACATGGCTGAAGAGCTGCTTAGTCTAAAAGCCTTTCGTTACCGTGAATGAATTCCCGGATCTTCTTTTCTTTGCTCTCAAGCAGCAACCTCACACAGACAGTGGTGAAGTATCGATTGGCCACCTCTTTGTCCCGCAACACCCTCTGCAGTAGCCTCTCCAGGTGGGCCTGCGTGGTCTGCAGCCCTTGCCGGCAGCGAGTGAGATAAGCAATATAGGGTGCCCTTTTCCTAAAAGAAAATAGACTTTGCAGGACATCATATACATACAGTGCACACTTCCTCGGAGACGAAGAGCCCTAAATGAATTAATCATGTCAGGCTGCAGACAACTGTCTTGAGGACTAATCATGCTGCCCGCTCGTGTTGGTGAAGAATAACACCTACTGGGCTGACCACTTAGCTACCTAATTCACTACATGTTACTAAGTCCCTAGGCATCCTTGATCTATTTTATATTGGCCCATGGTCTCCATGCTGTAAGACCTCACACCTCACAGGAAACTGATTGCTACAGAAGACTAAAACAACAAAATACAGGTTAATATAGCACTAGATCATTAAACATATCAGCGATTATTTGCTTACAGTCTAATTGTAACAATCATTAGAGCGCCCATCCCCTAAGCCTGGGGGCCTGGTTATCTCCCAAGAATCTCCCTGACGCTCTTCTCCTGAACTGTTAGCAAAGGGCGGCAGCAGACAGAGGGCAGCAATTTTTAGGCCTACGCCTGCTTCCCTGTTGCAGGGAATTCGTTTTTCCGGTCACCCCCAAGAATAGGAACAGGATGCCCTAATTATCCTGGCCTCACCTCTGCTAACCCTGCTTCAGTGCAAAGCTGAAGGACAGTGCACGTCTCTATTAGTGGGGAGAGTTGCCCACTTACAACTGCATTTCCAGATAAATATCCAAATGTGTTCTTTGGAAATCTACATCCAGATAAACACAGTCCAGCATGTTGCAGTTAGCCTAGATTCACTTGTGAAATCAAGACAGGGAAGAAGATCCTTGATGCCAGGTGACAGATGCAGGAGGCTGGGGTAAATACCTGTAGTCCTCGGCAATAGAGGCCAGCAGTTTCCTGCAAGTTCTGTTATCAAAGCGGCACACACAACGCATTGTTTCTTGAAGTTGAGCCATTAAGTTCTTATCTTGTAAATTAATTGCTTCAGCTATTTGAACTTTTAAGAAGCATACAATTTCATTGTCTAAACAAAAAAAAAAAGACAGAGAGGGAGAATTCTGTTATTGTCGAGAATTTCCATTGCATGCCATCCCTCAGCCTCTGGGATGTCAGTTCTGCTCAACCACAGATCAGCAGAACTAAGTTGCAATGCCACTCACTTTAATGAAGCATCAGGAATCAAAGTGCCCTTACCCGATGCTACTACAAATAAACTAATGGAACCATATGGAATTGCTATATAGCTTACACAGGCTGTGTACAGGCAGTTTCACATAGTTCAACCCATAAATACAGGAAAAACTTACCCTCTGGGTCTGTATGGTCCGGTAAACCGTTCCTTGTTGAATGGGTTAGCACTGGGAAAGCAACAGAATCCGCAGAGCAAAGAGCAAGCCTCAGTTTCTTTTTTGCATCTCTGAAGAGTGAGTCAAAAGTACATTAATTTTTTTAAAGATTTTATTTATTAGAGGGAGGGAGAGGGAGGGAGAGGGAGGGAGAGCACAAGCGGGGGGAGGGGCAGAGGGAGAGGGAGAAGCAGACTCCCCCGCCGAGCAGGGAGCCCGATGTGGGGCTCGATCCCAGGACCACGGGATCACAACCCAAGCCGAAGGCAGCCACCCAACCAACTGACCCACCCAGGCACCCCAAAAGTACAGTAATTTCTTCATGCAGATACGGTCACAGTTTATGAACACTCACTATATAAATTAATATGCTACCCCAGGACTCAAATGTTTTAAGCAGTCATAAATAAAAGATAGTTTTTAATTTACTGACACCTCACTTACAGGAACAGGCTTTCTAGTTACCCAAGGAGCAAGGCTATAAAAATGCTCTGGGCAGGATCATTCTGTGAAGTCACCAGAATCAAACAACAAGTCCTTTGGACCCTGCAACATATACTGAGTCTCACAACAAACATTATGAGAATGAGAAAGGGGCATTAAGCCAGGGTCAGCAGGGGCCAGAGAAGTCACCAGACCCATCTCCTCACGCAAACCAAGAACGCCCTCCATCACATCTCTTGAGAAAGGCTGATCCTGCCACAGGACGAGCTCACCACTTGACAAGAAGCCCTTCCTATTGCTCTACTGCTTGAAACTGCAGCTGACCCTGCCATCTGTTCAGTCTCCCCAGCATTTCCCCCGTGGCCAGGGAGCTTGGTGTGGGCAAAGGGACTGCCACTTGTGTCATTTAAATGACTGACATGGCCTCTGTGAGCACATGTGGTTGGCTTTTCACCCCTGAATTGATATATGGCTTTTCACCCCTGAATTGCCTTTGATATATGGCATCCACGTGAAACAGTCTTTTCAGGAAATAGCATTTCGTTCTTATCTCTCTGCTCTCTACATTTACTCGGTGGCTCAATGAATCATTTGACTTGAAGCAACTGCAGTGATGACGAAAAGTCCAAACCCACAAATCTGAAATCCTATCAAAGAAATACCTGTACGAGAAAGCAGAATCCTGAGGGTGGGCCGCCTGGCTCGCAGAGTCCGGGAGATCATCAGCCGAGATATTCTGCAGCGTTTCCTCTCGAGGAGAGTCATGTGCACTCTCACCATCACCCATGACCTCTGCACAAACCCACCCCCAAGAGAGGATAAAAGCAGGTTAACCTGGAAGAGTCTAGCACAAGGAGGTGTTCAAGCTACTTGACCATAAATTAGCACTGTACTTTACAGTCAGAGCTGTTCAATGAAGCACTGAATCATTATCTGTTAAGTCACAGACTTTCATTGCCTTTAATCACAATTGCTAAACCACAGAACTAAGAGGGGCCTCAAAAATCATCTTACATAACACCCTCATGTTATAGTCATGGAATCCTGCCCAAGCAGAAAGTGGCTTGCTGGACAGCCCTCGGCTCTCCAGGGCTCTTTACTAGGGCTTTTCCCACTGCCCAGGATGAGCTGGGACAGATCTGTGGCTCCTGCAGCTGGTTTTATGTTTTTAATTAACCAATTTAGAGAATACGTTCATATATAAAATCAAAAGGAATAAAAACTCATACTATAATAAAGATACTGTGCTTATGTAGGACAACTACCTTTATTAGGAGATAATTTCAAATGCTTCAGGGAAAAAAAGGAAAAAATATACAGAAAGAAAATGTGGCAAAATGTTAACAACTGATAAAGTCCAGGTAGAAGGAATATGGACCTTCACTGTACTATTCAACTCTTCCGTCCTTTGAAACTTTTCAAAATAATAAGTATGGGAAATCCATCTCTACTTTGGCTTCCCCTTACGCTCCCTATGATTTCTCCCTGAGCCATCTCACATTACCAGTCAGATTCTTCCAGGAACACTGGAAGTGTGGGCACACACAAGCAGAAACACATGCAGTATATAATTTATGCTTTTATATACATTTCTTTTCTCTTACTTTATCTTAGGGATTATACCATATTTTTCCGACAGCTATTAAAAATAGCTATTAAAAAGCTACTTTTTAGGGGCTCCTGGGTGGCTCAGTTGGTTAAGCAACTACCTTCAGCTCAGGTCATGATCCTGGAGTCCCGGGATCAAGTCCCGCCCCAGGCTCCCTGCTCGGCAGGGAGTCTGCTTCTCCCTCTGACCCTCCCCCCTCTCATGTGCTCTCTCTCTCTCTCTCATTCTCTCCCTCTCAAATAAATAAATAAAATCTTAAAAAAAAAAGCTACTTTTTATTCAGATCACTTTTCACTGTGATACCGAAGTTAGAACACTTGACCCATGAACAACATAGGTTTGAAATGCATGGGTCCACTTATACATGGATTATTTTTCTTTTCAATTTTTAAGTAATTTCTATACTCAACGTGGGGCTCGAACTCACAACCCCAATATCAAGGATCACATGCTCTTCTGACTGAGCCAATCAGGCACTCCCATGTGGATTTTTTTTCAGTACATACATACAGTACTGTTAATGTATTCTCTCATGATTTTCTAAGAATACTGTCTTTTCTCTAGCTTACTTTATTGTAAGAACACAGTATATAATACATATAACATGCAAAATATGCTTAATTGACTATGTTGTTAAGGCTGCCAGTCAACAGTAGGCTATCAGTCATTTCTGGGGAGTCAAAAGTCACATATAAATTATTAACTATGTGGGACAGTGGTGTCCCTACCGACCCACCCCACACACACCCCCACACCCCACACATTGTTCAGGGTCAACTGTATTCAAATCTTTATCATGATGATCACCTGTACTTTCATAGTTTGCCATTGCTCCTTCACTGGGGCTGGTTCGCTTAATGGCATTCCTGTATTTGTCCAGAATATCCTCAGCGACCTGAGCTTGTGCACTGAGTCTAGGGCTGGGATCATCTGCAGGGGAAAGGAGAGTACAGAATTAGCTCCCCTTGGTTTGTAGCAATTTTGATGTTAGTACGATACCAGTAGCATAATCCCAAAGGCGATTAGGAGGTAAGACTTAAAAAGAGCACATATCTCAATGTTAAGAGGCACCATGCAGCTGCCCGCTCATCCCATTTCTCAGTCTGAGAGCCTTGCCCAAGCACGAAATTGGAAGATTGGCTCCATTTTCTCATCACTGCCAAAATTCTGCATGACAGTGTCGGGAAGTTCAGTGCAGACTACATGGATGATGGGTTTCTAAAGCGCTTCCACTCAAGTTACTGTTATTAGCAGTTCATGCTAACAGAACTTCCAATAGTGCATCTTTATATGCAGATTCATGTATTCAGACATCTCCATGCTGAAGGAGGGGAAAAAGTTTCAAATTTAGAATTAAACCCTTTTAAATAATAAAAAATGCCTTCCTCTGCTCTTCCTGTATGACTCTCTCTCTGCACCACATTTGAAAACTTCAGGTATCAATATTCTGTCTTACTGAATCTCACCACAACAGTGCAGCTGCTAGAAGAGTGCACTTCTGTGCCTGCAGCGGTGTCAGAGGCACTCCGAGAGAATCTAGCCACTGCTGGAAAGTGCTGGGAATTGTACCCAGGGTACACGGAGAAAAAGCTTATCACCATCAACAGACGTAGCACTGTTTACTGTCAGGACCATAATCCTGTCAGCAAAATTAGTGCATCAAAATGTGTTCCTGAAGTCTAAGATGACATAGTCATCAAGGCAAAGAACTGCTACAGATCTATGGGACAAAATCAAGTTCTATAGTGAAATGCAAACACTCCTGAGATAGATCTAGACCAAGAAGGTAACCATGAATGTCCACATTCTGGTAGAATCCCATTTTTCAAAAAGTCTAAAAACACATTAAAAAACACTAGATTTTATATATGTGTGTGTGTTGATAGCAGCTAATAATAATAGCAGCTAACATTTATTGAGCACTTACCACGTGCCAGGAACTGTGCTAAGCACCTTATATGAACGATCTCAATTAATCATCACAACAACCCTATAGGGAGGTACTGTTATCACCTCAGTTTTATGGACGAGGAAATCAGGTACAGAGAGGTTCAGTAGTATGCTCATGGGCTCTTCTGTTTCCATGGGGAAAAAAATTTAGTATCCATGTCTCTGTAAAATTGCAGTAAACTGTAGAGAAGGAGGGTTTCCAAACTAATTTAATCTTTCTGCTTTAATGGTATCTGAATGCATGAGAAGAGAATCCTAATAAAATCTGATCTTGAAAATGTAAACTGATAAACCTTTTATCATTACAAAATCTTTCTTTGGAGGGGAAGTACTTTTTTGCTATTGGTTTTGAGTGCTGTTGAGCATTCTGAAAAAGGAACAATAAAATGTGGCTAACCACAGGGAAAGCCGTAATGTCGCTTATAACCTTTATATCTACGCCATTAAGAACTTTATCCCAGGAAAGTAATGAAAACAAACAAAATATACTACATATACGAAGCTGTGAGCAGTATTTTCACCGTAAAAACTGGATACAATTCAAGTATCCAAAAGCAGGAGAACATTCACAATGCTATAAAATCATATGACAGATTATCTGTGAGCCAATACAAATTATTAAAACCAACCATGTCTATAAGAAACTGGAGAGGGTCTATGAAATAACATGTAGTAAAAGAAGAATAGAAAGTTACACAATACTCTGATTCAGTCATGAAAAAGCCATGTACAAATATGGAAAGATTGGGAAAGAATATGGAAAAAAAAAAAAAGGATAGTTAGGGTGACTGCATTATGGACAGACTGTTAAGAAATTTCCTTTCATATCATTAAAAGTTGATTTAATGATAATTTTCAACAGGTCATTAATTAGGACTGGACAGAAATTTCTGCACTAGTAGCAAAGCTAAACTGCTTGAATCAAACACAAAGAAAATGAAATACCTTATGGAAAAAAAAAAAAACAAAAAACACTTAACTCTACTTAGCTTCTAGATTAGGCACCAAGAACCAAGGAAAACATTTGCCCAAAGACACAAGCAAAAAATAATTTATAACTTCTCCAGTTATTAATTCAACATTTTAAAAACATTAGATTTCATTAAGAGTATTTCATTCCATAAACACTGGTGGTGGTCTAACACCAGGAACCTGGTAAGAAAACATTAATATGTTTCCAACTCCTCTCAATCGGACTGTAGGCTCCTGTGATTTGACTGAATAACCACAACACTTAGCACAGTGCCTGGCATGAGTCAGATGTTCAACAAGTATTTGCTGACTGAGTAAGACAGGCCTGGCGGCTCTCAGCAGGGGATCTTAGCCTGGACACATAGCTCCTGCTCTTCAAAACCCTTAATCCCAGGAGAGCCGCTGCACCAGATAAAGCAGGGATGTATGCTAGAGACCATGGAAATACATCTAAATACATGGAACCAGATACCAGAATGAATGCATTAAAATGGGATTCTACCTGTACTACGCTGAGCTACTTGAAGAGAATGTTCTTTGGAAACCTATACCATTTTTTAATAAAAATCTTCATTTTAATTTAGTAGGATAACATAGTTGAAAATCAAGATAAGAAAAAAAGAGGTGAGAAATTAATTTCTGGTCTAGATGCTCTACAGCCATCAGAAACAGTATACAAAGCTATCAAACTCAAGGTGGGGTCATTAACACTACTTCTCGAACTCATTCCTTTAAGGGTGCTCATTCATAATGTGCCAAACAGAAGCTGCAAAAACACAAATGCTGAATAAGGTAAGAATCCAATCCCCAGTTGTATTTTCCTTGGGTCAGATAGCAATGTTAAAATGATTCAAGCTGTAAAAAATTAGTAAAGTTTATAAATTTATGATACTGTTTGAACACTTTATCACAAAAAAAGGAAATGATTAAGTAGAACAGAATTTCACTATGATCCTGAATAATCAAGAACTACAGATGAGAATAAATTTAGAATTCTATGATCAACGTTAGAGAAAGCTATTTGATCAATGATCCAAAGATGTGGCATGCATCGCACTAAAACCATCACCACACTTTCCTAAAAGGCCCCGTGTGGCATCGTCCCCCTGGGATGTCGCGTTGTAGGGTTGTGCCTAGAGGCTCAGCCCCAGGGGCCTCATCATACACAGAAGTTATGATAATGAGGATGAGGATGGCGGTGGCGGTCTGCAGGAAGAGCACACTGAGGTTCACTGCAGCCACCGCCTGGAAGCCACGGAACTATGAAGAACACACTCCCCACTGCACACACACAGACACACTCTTCTAAAAAGGCAGCGCTTATGACGCCCAGGAAACAGTGCTATGAAATATGTGCTCTGGGAATGAAGGAGCCAGGAAGTCCACGGTCTACAAACCTGTGAGTGTTGAGAATCTGTCAGGCCCCACATCATCTTTGTCTTTTTCTTGTTTTTCTTTCTTTCTAAATGGTATAGGAGCTGGAAATTAAATAAAGTCAGTAGCGTGACACATAACATACTGCACTACTCGGAAGACAGCAGTCATTTTGGAGTATTAACTGGTGGGCCAACATTTCTAAGTGAAAGGAAGGTGAAAAGTTTAAAAGCTAAGGAATCCTGAGTGTCCACTGATAATCATTCTTAAAACAGTGTTGAAGGTTCTTACAGAAGCTTTCAGGATCTGCTTTGGGGTCATCTGTCACAGGAAGAATGATTTAACTCAAATCTGTTGGGACTAAATCAAAACCACTGCCTCTTAACCTTTGCTCGAAAACAACACATTCAAAGCTCTGAGCCTCAATCTCTCCTCATCAAGGGGGCTTGAGTGCAGCTGAAAGCAGAGCTCCTCAGCTCCTGAGCGCCACGGTGCCGAGAAGAGGACTTTGGAAGAAGTCCCTAGCCTTAACCCTGGATGATCTCTCCTTGCAGGAAGAGACGCTTTTGCCAACTCAAATCTCAGTATTTATTGCTACAATGCCAGGCTAGTCACAAAAAAAACAAAAACAAACAAACAAAAAAAACAATTTTATACAACTGCCTTCCAAAATAAACACTCACTAATATTCAGAATATAAACATTCTCAACAAACATAAACATAAAAAGCTTAAGTTTACTCCAGGAATGTAAAGGATGAATTTTCAATGTTTAATTACCAATAGCATCCCTTTTTCCTGCAATAATTATTAGCAATACATATGTTAAAAGTCCCACGTTTAACCCTAATGGCATATGATATTTAAACAACCGTGACCTGCCTGACTTCCACTTATGAAACCACTACCACTTCCTGCAAAGAACAAGAACTATCATTTCTAAAGGTCTGCCTTCAGCATTCACCTGAGTGAAACCATTTTCTATACCCTCCAAACGGCTAGAAACTTAGGCCCAGCAAGCCACACAGAGGAGCTGACATACTGGCTCTCTGAAAGAGATTTGGGGGCTTTGCTTCTTGTTGCTAATATAATTCTAGTATTTTATAAAATTACCTTTAGGCATGGCAGAAACAAAACGTTTTCTCCACCAAGGTCTGTTCCTGTCTGATTTCTCATCATCGCTATCTTTGCGTTCTTCAGTCTGCAGAAAAAGTTTGATGCTTTATTTGAAGTTGGACAGCAGGATAAATTACTAGGAAAAGGGTTTCAGTTTCTCTGTGAAATACAAAAACCACTCTTGTTTGTCTTAAAAGCAAAACTATTCTTATTGCTGTACAGGCAACTTCTGAAACATGGAAGTATACCTTTTAAGCACCAGACTATGATCTGCTTGAGGGCAGGCACTATCTCATTACTATTAGTAAACAAAAACCTTAATACAGAGCCTCACATAGAGTAAGGCACTCAATACTTTTGGAAGGAGTAAGCACAATGCACATAAAGTCTAGAGGGGTAGCAGTAATAATAAAATTGAGTATGGACTGTGTGCCAAATGCCAAGGGTTAAGGATACGTATTATTGCATTTAAACCTCACAGTAGCCTTAGGAGATAATAATACTATTAAGCCCTTTTTACAGATGAGAAATAAGGGGCTAAAAAAAGTTATCTTCCTATCTTCTCCAAAGTAATATAGCCTGCATGTGGCATAGTTGGGACTCAAACCCAGATGCAAACAACTTCAAAGTTCATGTTTTGATCGCCAATTAAATTGAGTTATTAAAATCACATGTCAAAGAGCTGGGACTATATAGTTCCTTTACCAGCCTATCACGTGACCTTAGACAAATCATTTAATTTCTCATCTCGGAAGGAAACTGTGAGGTTTAAATGAAATTAGATATAAAATTGCTTGGAGAAAAGTTCAAAGTGTCATAAAAATGCAAAATACATTACTACAAAACCAAAATAGTACAGGTTTCCCATGGGATACAGTGTGGACAAATTAGACTGACAGATCATCTTTAATCATGACCGCTGTCCATCTTCACTCTTAGATTTATATATACCGTGTTAATTTCACATATCAAGAGAACCAAGTGGGCAGAACACTAAAGCTGACCACAATTAGCAAAATTCTTCTAGATGGCCTGTGTCCCATACCTCTCCTCTTGAGGAGTCCTTACTCGGGGAGGAAGATGATGAATGAGGTGCAGCCACCAAAGAAGTAGCACCAATGGCTGCAGCTGGAGGGAGTTCTCGCTCTTCATTCCCTGGACGACGGTTCCAGCTGGGGTCACTCATAGGTCGCCGGACAGATGATACTATATCAGAGCTCCTGCTGCGAACTAATCTCTCAGGGTAAGAATGCCTTTGCTTGAATGCCTCCATTTCAGCTGGAGTCAAAACATGGGAACCAAAGTTTGGCAACCTGGCCTCATTTCCTCCCACAGCTCCTTCCAGGATTGGGGGATCTGGTGGTGGATGCGATGGCCTGGCATAGTGAACCTTTGGCCTTACCACGGCAGAAGCCCCTAGAACACAGGGGAAAAAAAGTTTGCAAATGAGATACAACTGATCCAACAAAGGCATCAACATAGGGTTTTGGTTCTGTTCTTCTGCCCAGGGTAAGTCAAAAAGCTCATTTGACTACTTTACCTTCATGTGAAGACAGTGGATCAAACATGGCAAGTAGAGACTCTGACTGAGAAGGAGGAGAGGTCAGCTGGTGGGCGCCTAAAATAAACGGGCAAACTGTAAGACCAATCAGAACTCATCATTAAGAGTTTCTACACAGTGAAAAAGGTTCTAGCATTCTTCCACAGTATTCTTTTTTTTTTTTTTAAAGATTTATTATTTGAGAGAGAATGCACACATGGGGGAAGGAGCAGAGGGAGAGAGAGAGAATATCCTAACAGACTCCATACCCAGCACAAGCCCATGCAGGGCTTGATCTCCCAATCCTGAGGCCATGACCCGCACTGAAATCAAGAGTCGGATGCTCAACCGACTGAGCCACCCAAGCACTCCAGTTTTCCTTTTCTGATCATAGAACTTGAGGGGCATATCAAAAAAAAAAAGAGAATCTAATAAGTATCATATTCTGATTACTTCAAATTCATGGTATGTTTTTATCTACATACATGGATTTTAATGACATTTAAGTGGTATAGCAACCACATATTAATTACTTTTAATGGCCAAATCGTACTATAGTTAATGCAAGGAGTAGAGCCAAAAGATGTAAATCATCAAAATTTTCAGAATGTCACAACTGGGGGCGCCTGGGTGGCTCAGTCATTAAGCATCTGCCTTCAGCTCAGGTCATGATCCAGGGTCCTGGGATCAAGCCCCGCATCGGGCTGCCTGCTCGGCGGGGAGCCTGCTTCTCCCTCTCCCACTTCCCCTGCTCGTGTTCCTGCTCTCTCTCTCTCTGTCAAATAAATAAATACAAAATAAAATCTTAAAAAAAAAGAACGTCACAACTGCCCTGAGCCTCACCTTCCCTCCACCTATAAAAATAAGGGCAAAAAATAGTATTAATAATAATAATAAGGGCAGGGGCACCTGGGTGGCTCAGTCGTTAAGCGTCTGCCTTCAGCTCAGGTCATGATCCCCGCGTCCTGGGATCGAGCCCTGCATTGGGCTCCCTGCTCGGCGGGGAACCTGCTTCTCCCTCTCCCACTCCCCTTGCTCGTGTTCCTGCTCTCTCTCTCTCTCTCTCTCTCTCTCTGGCAAATAAATAAATAAATAATAAAATTAAAAAAAAAGAAATGTCACAACTGCCCTGAGCCTCACCCTCCCTCCACCTATAAAAAATAAGGGCAAAAAATAATATTAATAATAATAATAAGGGCAGGGGCGCCTGGGTGGCTCAGTCGTTAAACGTCAGCCTTCGGCTCGGGTTATGGTTCCGGGGTGCTGGGAACCCCGTGTCAAGCCTGCTTCTCCCTCTCCCTCTGTCGCTACCCTTGCTTGTGCTCTTTCTCTCTCTCAAATAAATAAAATCTTTAAAAAAATAAGGGCAATATTACCTAGAAGGAATATAAATAAAAAGTTGTAAAATTTGAAATTCTTATACTGTTCTCAGCAAATAACAATTTGTAAAAGTACTCCTAAACAAAAATGAATAATGCTACATTACACCACAAAACAGATTCAAACTACTCTCAGCTATGGAGTAAAAATGACTCCTCTAAGCATATGTCTACACAACCAAAATCAGAAATATTAAAACAGGTAAGTATGCAGAGGCTAAAACTTTCAAATATATAAAAGAAACCTCTAGAGGTGCCTGGGTGGCTCAGTCAGTTAAGCATCTGACTCTTGATTTCGGCTCAGATCATGATCTCAGGGCTGTGAGATCGAGCCCCGCTTGATTCTCTCTCTCCCTTTGTCTCGCCCCTTACCCCCCGCCCCAGGGCTCTCTCTCAAAAAAAAAAAAAAAAAGAAAGAAAAGAAAAGAAGGAGTTACTCTAAACTTTTTGAGTCTGAACTCTTTAATGTTAATGAATGACAGTACTTTGATTTTATGCTTTTTGATTTTCCTTTTGTTCTATACATTTACCTTCCTCTTAAAATTATAAAAACACTATATTATTATTAAAGACATCTTAGAATATGAGTTCTAAAATTTTGGTCTTAGGACACTTACATTCTTAAAAATTATTGCCCCAAAGAGCCTATGTTGGTTATACCTACTGACACCATATCATAAATTAAAAATGAAAACAAATATATATTTATATATTAATTCATTAAACATATCTGTTAAATGGTAATACAAATAACCCTTTTAAATGAAAAATAACTATTTTCCAAAATAAAAAAATAACAACTGACACTGTTTTACATTTTTACAAATTCCTTTAATATAAGGCTTAATAGAACAGAGCTGGATTCTCCTATGAGCTTCTGCTTTCAATCTGTTGCAATACATATTTTGACTGAAGTATATAAACATGGCCTCACACAGATTATGTAGTTGGAAAAGGGAAGATATTTTAACAGCCTTCTCAAATAATTGTGGACATTCTTCTATGATACGACACCAAATCTTGATTAGTAGTTTTTTAAAGGTTAGCTATAATTTGGAATCTAAAACCAAATCAATGAACTTTTACTCTGTTACATTAAAATTTGGTCTTTCACTTTAAAGGATTTTTGTAACATCATGCATTGATCACCTGGAAAATACTGGTTCAATGAGATATGCAGATCTTCCACATGTTAACACATTTCAATATATAATATCAAAAAATCACACGCTCATCAGAAAAACCACCAATCTCATCAGAAAAGTCTTTAAATATCAGAAAGCTGTCAAGATGTGCTACGGTGAGCGCTGTGAATTGTGCAAGACTGTTGAATCACAGATCTGTACTTCTGAAACAAATAACGCAACATATTTTAAGAAAAAAGGAAAAGAAGAAGATAACAGGAGAGGAAGAAAAGGGGAGTATGTCAGAGGGGGAGACGAACCATGAGAGATGATGGACTCTGAAAAACTGAGGGTTCTAGAGGGTAGGGGGGTGGGGGTATGGGTTAGCCTGGTGATGGGTATTGAGGAGGGCACGTTTTGCATGGTGCACTGGGTGTTATGAACAAACAATGAATCATGGAACACTGCATCAAAAACTAATGATGTAATATATGGTGATTAACATAACAATAAAAAAATTAAAAAAAAAAAAGAAAGCTGTCAAGCTCATGAAGGTGGATACAAGTTTTTCGAAATTCTCATTTTTACCTAAAAGCCTGAATTTTATCACTGGCAACAAACTCTGTTGGTTGTTTTCCTTGAAGTGATAGGCTCACTTTGTTAATTTTCAATAAATGCCTGCCAAATACCCAAATATGAATAACTACAGTTTGTCAGTCATTCTTTCAAGTAAAAATGGTGTGTCATGAAAAACAAACAAGAGAAGAAACAGCTAGTTAAGCTCACAGCTCCAATAACCATCTAAGTGTTTTTTCTTGAGATACTTCACCACCATGCATTAGGAGTATTTCCTATTTCTTCAGAATTTTGAACAGATGTGTATTCAGGGTTGAGATGTAATTAAATAATTTTTACTGATTCATGAAAGATTTCTTTTTTAACTGTGAGAGAATATAGTCACTGCTAACTGTTCAGTACCACTGCTTTGCTTCATGCTAAGGCCCACCCCAGCAAATGTACCCACCTTTGCTTGTGCACCATCAGTGCAAATGTCAATATAGTGAAAAGGACAACCACCTTTTACTATTATGAAAACAGTTTTGACCTCATTACCCCTCATTCCCCAAAAGGGTCTTAAGGGTCCTCAGTGGTCCATGGAGACTATACTCTGAAAATTGCTTATTTAGAACAGTGGTTCTCAAATGGGGCTATTCTGTTCCCCAAGGGATCATGTGGCAGTATCTGGAGACATTTTTGGTTGTCACAACTGCAGGGGAAGAAGGGGGTGCCATGTTCCTGGTAGAGGCCAGAGATGTCACTAAACATCCTATAATGCACAGAACAGGTTTCCATAACAAAGAACTACCTGGCCCAAAATGTTAATAGTGTTGAGGATGAGAAATCTTGGTTTAGAACAAACAAAAAACATTTTTTGTAAGAAAGAAAAAGTATCTAAAAGCCCAGTACATAAAACCACTGCTAGCATTTTGGCATTTCTTTCCTGTGCTTTCTCTGTGATAGTTTTTTTAATCAAAAACAAAAACAAAACCCAGCCGCATAAATTATGAGTGGGTGCATCAAAATTCACTTAGCAATTCTATTTTTCAACCCTTAGGTTGTTTCTCATTTTCTGCCAATATAAATGCTATGAAGAACGTAAGACTTTCTGCATACATGGAATGGTTTCCTGATGACTAATTCCTAAAGTGGACTAACTGAACTAAATTTATTTTGTGAATTTTTTTTTTTTTTTTTTTTTTTTTTTAAGTAGGCTCTGTGCCCAGTGTGGAGCCCAACACAGGACCTGAACGCACGACCCTGAGAATAAGACCGGAGCTGAGACCTAGAATCAGATGCTTAACCAAGTGAGCCACCCAGGCGCCCCTGGTTTGTGAATTTTCAAGGCCTTACATACGTACTGCCAAAATTATGCCCCAAAGTGCTCGATCAACTGATATTATCACTGGCAAAAGTAAAAGACTGCCAGTTTCACCTGTGAATGTGATCATTTTTAAGTCATTCTCCTTTCCCCTTCTTACCATGAGTTACTTCATCCATGTCTGGACTAGTGACAGAATCTTTACCCCCAAAATCAGAGCTGCATTCAGATCTCAGGTCTTCAATCTTATTGGGAATATCCTCAGAGGTTGCACTAATGCCTTTAAAAAAAAAATAAAGTAAAAAATAAACAGCAAAAAGAACAAAATAACCACACAAAAAGTATATGAAGTTTGGAGAAATGTAAATATTCTCAAAATTTTTATGTCCCAGTGCTATACGTGTGAGATGTTTGGTATCATATCCTTTATTGTACTACTGCCTAAATATGCTTGCCTTGATTTGTACAACATAATTGCAAGTATCATGTGGTATCCAAATACAGTAGCAGAGGCCACCAAGAACAAATAGAATTAGAGAGGGAACACACAGACTGTTTGCCAATTACTTCAACAGGCTCTAGAAAGCCACATGTTAAGTTCTCATAGATTTAAGGTCCCACGGAAATAATTTTGTTTCCTAGAAATTCCTCAACTCTTAAATAAAACATATCTCTGTTATCAACTTCATAAATGAAGAGGTGGGAACACACCTTGCAATCCTTATTCCTTAAAACAAGACAGACATACCCGACACAACACTGAGGCCTGGTGTGCTGGGGCGGGAACTGACCTCCCTGACATCCGTATCATCAGATGTGCTACCTAGTCCAGAACAGCTCTCCAGCTCTTGTAGACGCTCCTCCTGCTTTAGATCCGGGGCCTCTAAACAGAAGACATGAGGTGCCACATGAGTGATTCTGTTAGCATGCCACAGGTTCAGCCTGTGACCCACATGAGGAAAGCTACCAGAGTGTGAATGAAATCACTGTAAACAGATTTCTAAGTCTGGGCCAGTTAGCAAAGTTAGTTAGATCAAGTGTTAAAGAAGCTGAGGTTGGGATTTTCATTCCAATATAGGCCAGTTTGTTGTGCAAAGGTGAAAACTCTGCCTGTAGATCACTAATCTCATAAAATATGCTGCTGGTTAAGAAGTAAACTCAACAAGAGCATACAGAATAGCATAACATTAAACCAAACATTTTCTAAAAATAACTCCTCCGGACACTCAACAGATAGTAAGCTAACTGTACTGTCTCCTTATGTAAAGGTCAGCATGTCTGAGTGCATTAATATTATAAACATATCAGAATCACTTAATTATTCTTGAGCCCAGTAGATCAGACAGAATGTAATTCAGATATATAGTTACTTAAATTTGCATTCTGGTAGTTGACATTTAATCGAAAGCAAAGTTTTAATCTTCATAATCAGAAAAAAAAGGAGAAATGCAATATTTAAGAAAAGAGAAAGTACAAAACACTTTATATATATTTGTAATAATCCTACACAAAGTAATTCTCAGGACTCCAGAGTCTCAATTTCAGTACATTTCAAAATTAGATATCTTTTAAAGGGTCAAGTTCTCCCTGGGATGAATCTGGGCATGCTTGCCATGCATCCAACTGCTCAGGGTTCAAGCTGTACTGCTATTCCTATTTTGTGATGAGTTAGTGGGAGATACCAAACTCAGTGTCACACACAGAACTCTGGTGAGTTGCTAACAAATACTTACAAATAACAACACAGAGTCAAAAAGCACCTGCCATCTTAGCCTATGCCATCCAACTGCATTTTTTCTTGATGGACAGAAAATGCCCTAACCGTCCATCTGAAATTCTTAGTAATATGGTTGTGTCACGCTTGACAAAATGTACACAGTACAGGAATTAAGATACCTTACATTTAAAACTTCTGTGCAAATCAAAAAGCAAACAATGACAGCATACTAACCTGAGTCACTTGGCAATACCTCTACACTCCAAGCTTCGCTTGTTGTCTCTGATATGGTAGAACCAGTGCAGGGGTCAAGAAGCACTGACCCTGAACCTGGCAGGCACAGTAAACTGCCTAACATGTTCTCTGCTGCTGCACCTGTATAACCAGTGGGGAGCAAAGGGTTAACGAAGATCCTGATGGAAAGAGCAGTGATAATGGAGAAGGGCCAAACACTAAACTAACTGTCATCTCTACTCTATCCACAAGAAGGAAGCCAAGGTAAGTGTAATTTCAATCAACAGCACCACTAAAAACAAAATTTCCAACATTGGTCACAATGGCACAAGCTCCTTTTTCTCAGTTTCCTCCTGTTCACCTTGGACTCTCCATAGAGAAAACATCCATCATTAGGTCAAGTCATTTCAACTAGCTTTCATCTTGGTTTTGTAGCACATTTTTACATGTGTCCCAAAATACCTAAAATGTATAGTCCTCACAGGGATTAAAAACACTCAAATGGAGACACTAAACCACAGAAAGTTATACTGGCCAAATATGTTTTCTTCTGGCACATTAGCCACATATTCAGAGCAGTAAAATATATTTGCAGGAAAATACACATCTCTGTAGCACGCATTCAACTGCAAATACAGCTCATTGCTCAAACAGAGCTTTCTGCCAGGAAAAATACTACTTTGGCCCCTGAAACAAAGTAATGCAAAACCAATTAAGAAATCTGTTTACACTACTTAAAAATACAAATAGAAAGGATTAAACATTATCATACACCGTGTTAGAAATACTCAAGTTCAGGATGCGCCATGACACCTGATAATGCCTAACAAAAGAACAATTCTACTGCAGTGCATAAAAAACTTTTGGCAAAAGGTTACTGGTGAAAGTTACCTTTTAAAGATATATCATAAAATAATTACAAATAAAATAACATCTGGAACTTGCCTAAACATAACAGGGGGACAGGGTAAAAGGGGTAGTGGGAGAAGAGATGAGACAAAACTGGCCACGTGTGCATGTGTAATAGTTAAAGCTGAATGACTGGTACACAGAGTACATTCTTCCCTCTTGTATTTGCCTGAAACGTTCCATGATTTAAAGAGAAAATGAAGATGCTGCTTATAGGACTGTATGAAATCTTTCAGAACTCACAGAACAGTACCCTAAAGGGGCTGAATTTTAAAGTATGTAAATAGTACCTCCATAAACTTGTATTTAAAAAAAAAGAAAAAACTAGTTACTCTTTGGAAATGAATTAATCCTTCCAGAAGAAATTCCTTTTTTTTTTTTTCCCTTAAGTAAGCTCTACACCCAAAGTGGGGCTTCAACTCACAACCCTGAGATCAAGAGTCACATACTCTACTGAGTGAGCCAGCCAGGCACCCTATTAAATTCAATTTTTAGAGAATCTCGGTATTATATTATTCTGAAAGATTTTATGGCTATAATCTATAAGAATTTTCATTTTCAGGTAAGGTGTGTAGTCTCAAAAAGAATATCCTCAGAATATATATTATGCCCTGAAAAGAAGAAGCTAATTCAGAAGACTGGTTTTTCTTTTTTGGCAAGGGAGGGGGAGTTAAATGCAGACAGGGAAAAACGCTACCTATATTTTGGTAAGGAAAAAAAGACACAAGTGCCTTGTTACATAGTTATCTCAGCTTCCTAGGTCTGTCTGTCTGAGGCTGAAGTCCCTGCCCATGAGGGTAGATAGATATGAATAACTAAACAGCAATCTTCCAGAGAAATTAAACAGCAGTTACCTGCAATTTCTTGTAAGCGATCTTCATCAATGTTAGGGTCGAAATCACTTCCCAAGACATCTGTACTCCAGGTCTCACTCACTGTTTCTGATATATCTCTGTCATCTGTCAGTCCCATCATGTCACGTATTTCAAACTTCCTTAACTTATCATCAAGATTATCTTGTGTTGTAGCTATCAGAAACAAAATTATGCATTTTGAAAATGACATCACAGCTATTTTTTTAAATCAACTTCAAAGATACATATTTTATCATTAACACCGAGCATGCAATACCAACATTGAATTATCCCCCTACAGATGTACTGTTTCCTTCTCTGAACTAAGCTCAGCATCTGTACCCCCATTTCTGACAGATTAATTGGGGCAACCTCTGCAGTGTGACTCTGATAAAAAATTGGGATATATGGCAGCAGACCTATCCAGAGAGACCTGGCAGGCCGGAAAGGACTCGCATGATATATCCAGAGCACTAAACAAGAAAAATATGCAGCCAAGAATACTACATCCAGCTAGGCTGTCATTGAAAATAGAAGGAGAGATAAAAAGCTTCCAGGACAAACAAAAACTAAAGGAATTTGCAAACACGAAACCAGCCCTACAAGAAATATTGAAAGGGGTCCTCTAAGCAAATAGAGAGCCTAAAAGTAATATAGACCAAAAAGAAACAGAGACAATATACAGGAACAGTCACCTTACAGGCAATAAAGTGGTACTAAATTCATATCTTTCAATAGTTACCCTGAATGTAAATGGGCTAAATGCCCCAATCAAAAGACACAGGGTATCAGATTGGATTTAAAAACAAGACCCATCAATATGCTGTCTGCAAGAGATTCATTTTAGACCCAAAGACACTTCCAGATTTAAAGTGAGGGGGTGGAAAACCATTTACCATGCTAATGGACATCAAAAGAAAGCTGGGGTGGCAAACCTTATAACAGGCAAATTAGGTTTTAAACCAAAGACTATAATAAGAGACGAGGAAGGACACTATATCATACCTAATGGGTCTATCTAACAAAAAGATCTAACAATTTTAATTATCTATGCCCCTAACATGGGAGCAGCCAATTATATAAGCCAATTACTAACAAAATCAAAGAAACGCATTGACAATAATACAATAATAGTAGGGGACTTTAACACCCCCCTCACTGAAATGGACAGATCATCTAAGCAAAAGATCAACAAGGAAATAAAGGCTTTAAATGATACACTGGACCAGATGGACTTGACAGACATATTCAGAACATTCCATCCCAAAGCAACAGAATACACATTCTTCTTGAGACTGAACATTCTCCAGAATAGATCCCATCCTGGGTCACAAATCAGGTCTCAACCGGTACCAAAAGACTGGGATCATTCCCTACATATTTTCGGACCACAATGCTTTGAAACTTGACCTCAATCACAAGAGGAAAGCTGGAAAGAACTCAAATATATGGAGGCTAAAAAGCATCCTACTAAAGAACGAATGGGTCAACCAGGAAATTAAAGAATTAAAAAAGCTCATGGAAACAAATGAAAAGGAAAACACAACTGTTCAAAATCTTTGGGATGCAGCAAAGGCAGGCCTAAGAGGAAAGTATATAACAATACAAGCCTTTCTCAAAAAACAAGAAAGGTCTCAAATACACAACCTAACCCTACACCTAAAGGAGCTGGAGGAAGAACAGACGGGACCACAGGAAGAACCCCTAAACCCAGCAGGAGAAGAGAAATAATAAAGATCAGAGCAGAAATCAATGAAATAGAAACCAAAGAACAGCAGAACAGATTAACAAAACTAGGAGCTGGTTCTCTGAAAGAATTAATAAGATTGATAAAGCCCTGGCCAGACTTATCAAAAAGAAAAGAGAAATGACCCAAATAAATAAAATCATGAATGAAAAGAGGAGAGATCACAACCAACACCAAAGAAATACAAACAATTATAAGAACATATGAGCAACTATATGCCAGCAAATTAGACAATCTGGAAGAAATGGAAGCATTCCTAGAGATGTACAAACTACCAAAACTGAACCAGGAAGAAAGAGAAAACCTGAACAGACCCATAATCAGTAAGGAAATTGAAGCAGTAATCAAAAATCTCCCAACAAACAAGTGCCCAGGGCCAGATGGCTTCCCAGGGGAATTCTACCAAACATTTAAAGAAGAATTAATACCTATTCTTCTGAAACTGTTCCAAAAAATAGAAATGAAAGGAAAACTTCCAAACTCGTTTTATGAGGCCAGCATTACCTTGATCCCAAAACCAAAGACCCCATCAAAAAGGAGAATTACAGACCAATATCCCTGAAGAACATGGATGCAAAAATTCTCACCAAAATACTAGCCAATAGGATCCAACAGTACATTAAAAAGATTATTCACCACAACCAAGTGGGTTTTATTCCTGGGCTGCAAGGTTGGTTCAACACCCGCAAATCAATCAATGAGATATAATACATTAATAAAAGAAAGAACAAGAACCATATGATACTCTCAATACAGGCAGAAAAAACATTTGACAAAGTACAGCATCCTTTCTTGATTAAAACTCTTCACAGTGTAGGGACAGAGGGTACATACCTCAATATCATAAAAGCCATCTATGTAAAACCCATGGCAAATATCATTCTCAATGAGGAAAAACTGAGAGCTTTTCCCCTAAGGTCAGGAACATGGCAGGGATGTCCACTATCACCACTGCTATTCAACATATTACTAGAACTCATAGCCTCAGCAGACAACAAAAAGAAATAAAAGGCATCCGAATCAGCAAAGAAGAAGTCAAACTCTCACTCTTTGCAGATGATACAATACTTTATGTGGAAAACCCAAAAGACTTCCACCCCAAAACTGCTAGAACTCATAAAGGAATTTAGTAAAGTGGCAAGATATAAAATCAATGCACAGAAATCAGCTGCATTTCTATACACCAACAACAAGACAGAAGAAAAAGAAATTAAGTCAATCCCATTTACAATTGCACCCAAAACCATAAGATACCTAGGAATAAATCTAACCAAAGAGGCAAAGAATCTGTACTCAGAAAACTACAGAATACTCATGAAAGAAATGGAAAACGTTCCATGCTCATGGGTTGGAAGAACAAATACTGTGAAAATGTCTATGCTATCTAAGGCAATCTACACATTTAATGGAATCCCTATCAAAATACCACTAACTGGGCACCTGGGTGGCTCAGATGGTTGAGCGTCTGCCTTCAGCTCAGGTCATGATCCCGGGGTCCTGGGATCGAGTCCCACATCGGGCTCCCTGCTCCTTGGGAGCCTGCTTCTCTCTCTCTCTCTCTCTCTCTCTCTCTCTCTGTCTCTCATGAATAAATAAATAAAATCTTTAAAAAAAAAAAATACCACTAACTTTCTTCAAAGAAATGGAACAAATAATCCTAAAATTTGTATGGAACCAGAAAAGACCCCGAATAGCCAGAGGAATGTTGAAAAACAAAAGCAAAGCTTGTGTGGCATCACAATTCCGACTTCAAGCTCTATTACAAAGCTGTCATCATCAAGACAGTATGGTACTGGTATAAAAACAGACGCATAGATCAATGGTACAGAATAGAGAGCCCAGAAATGGATCCTCAACTCTATGGTCAACTAATCTTCAACAAAGCAGGAAAGAATGTCCAATGGGAAAAAGACAGTCTTTTCAACAAATGGTGGTGGGAAAATTGGACAGCCACATGCAGAAGAATGAAACTGGACCATTTCCTTACACCACACACAAAAATAGACTCAAAATGGATGGAAGACCTAAATGTGAAACAGGAATCCATCAAAATCCTTGATGAGAATACAGGCAGCAACCTCTTCGACCTCAGCCACAGCAACTTCTTCCTAGAAACATTGCCAAAGGCAAGGGTAGTAAGGGCAAAAATGAACTATTGGGAATTCATCAAGATAAAAAGCTTTTGCACAGCAAAGAAAACAGTTAACAAAACCAAAAGACAATGACAGAATGGGAGAAGATATTTGCAAATGACGTATCAGATAAAGGGCTGGTATCCAGAATCTATAAAGAACTTATCAAACTCAATACCCAAAGAACAAATAATCCAGTCAAGAAATGAGCAGAAGACATGAACAGACATTTCTGCAAAGAAGACATCCAAATGACCAACAGACACATGAAAAAGCACTCAACATCACTCAGGATCAGGAAATACAAATCAAAACCTCAATGCGATACCACCTCACACCAGTCAGAATGGCTAAAATTAACAAGTCAGGAAACGACAGACATTGGCGGGGATGTGGAGAAAGGGGAACCCTCCTACACAATGCAAACTGGTGCAGCCACTCTGGAAAACAGTATGGAGGTTCCTCAAAAAGTTGAAAATAGAGCTACCCTATGACCCAGCAATTGCACTACTGGGTATTTACCCCAAAGATACAAATGTAGTGATCCGAAGGGGCACCTGCAACCCAATGTTTATAGCAGCAATGTCCACAAGAGCCAAACTATGGAAAGAACCCAGAGGTCCATCAACAGATGAATGGATAAAGACGTGGTATATATGTACAATGGAATATTATGCAGCCATCAAAAAAATGAAATCTTGCCATTTGCAATGACATGGATGGAACTAGAGGGTACTATGCCAAGCGAAATAACTCAATCAGAGAAAGACGAGTATCATATGATCTCACTGATATGAGGAATTTGAAAAACAAGACAGAGGATCATAGGGGAAGGGAGGGAAAAATGAAACAAGATGAAATCAGAGAGGGAGACAAACCATAAGAGACTTTTAATCTGAGGAAACAAATTGAGGGTTGCTGGAGTGGAGGGGGGTGGGAGGGATGGGGTGGCTGGGTGACGGACATTGGGGAGGGTATGTGCTATGTATGGTGAGCGCTATGAATTGTGTAATTCATGAATCACAGACCTGTACCCCTGAAACAATATATTATATGCTAATAAAAAAAAATGGGATATATTTCCCTCTCTGTGTATTTGCACAGGCCTTGTTACTTGCTTTGGCTAAAAGAGTAAAAAAGTGTGCCAGTTTCAAGGCTAGGCCTCAAACCCTTATAAACCTCAAACCCTATAACACTTATAAAATTCTGCCCTCTTTTTCATCCTTGCTTCTGCCATGAGAACAAGCTTAAGTTAGCCTGCTGGAGGATGAGGGACCACATGGAACAAAGCAAAGGTCATCCTAGAGCAGCCAGCTCTCCTCACTGACCAACTATCCCCCAGTTAAGATTAGCAGAGCTCCCTACTCAACCACCAGTGACTGCAGATACATGAGTCAGCCCAGTCCAAATCAGAATCACCCAGCTGACCCAGAGACTTGAGAGCACAAATAAATGTTTGTTGTTTTAAGTCACTAAGTTTTGAGATGGTTTGTTATGTAGCAATTACTCTGGAAATAATTAACTGATAAGCCCATACTAAAATATTTTCTTCATTTGACTTGAATACATCCCCCTGATATTAGAGTTTTCTCTCTTCCGTTGACTGAGAAGCAGTCTATAATTTGTCTCAATTTACTTCTTAACCTAGTGCTCACAAAATGTAGACCACCAACCACCTACATCAGAACAGCCACACCTACATCAGAATCACCTAGAGAGCTTGTTAAGTGATATTCTTTCAACTTCTGTCTTAATGGATTATTTTAGGTTTCTCTCTTATTTGCAGAAAATTTAATCCTAACTGATCTGACGAACTAATCCAGTAAAATATAATATTTCTTTTATTTAAGCCACACATAGCCCAACTGGCAATGCTCTTTTCCTTTATGAAAATGAACTGCACCAGGATTTCCAGAAATGAGACATGGGAAATTTTTTTTTTTTAGTTTCCCAGGTAATTTTTATGCCCACTCTGGTCTCAGACCCAGCTGATCTGCAATCTGCCCTCAACACTCCCTCAAAGGCCACCAGTGATCTTTAAATGAACAAATCTAAAGAGCTTTTTCAAATTAATCTTCTTAAAGCACAATATATATCCATCTACTTTTCAATCCTTACCCCACATTATTCCCATATCTGATAGTTCCTGAATAAGTACTATGGTTTCCCACTTCCCTGACTTGCTTATACTATTCTGTTCCTTCACCTAGAATGCCCCATCTTGAGTTTCTGCCAACGCAATTTGAGCCGAGCTTTAAGGCTATAGCATTTTCTTCCACTAAGCTTTCCCCTACACTTTCAACCATATGCATCTCTCACTCAGAACTGCCAAGGCACTTTTATAACACTTTTAGACATTTGTATACCATCTTCTCCCTATTCTAAGTTCCTTTAACCCCAAGTATTTATCTTTGTATCCCTTAAAATGGCAATATTACAGAATTGAAATGCTATTACCTAATTCAAGCAATTCATTTTAATTATTCTATGTAGCTTAAGCCTAAAAAATTCATTTACCAACTAAACATTTTTAAGAACTGAAAGAACTATGAATAAATGCAAGTTTAATGGTCATTATATAATCAACTTCAACTTAATTCTTTTACTGAACACAGCCAATCTACATGGAAACACACAGTTTATCTTGCAGCCAGGTAAATTCTTTGCTATTTGAGCAACTGTGTTCAGCTTCACTTTACCTTGCTCATGCTCTAATAACTGTAGAGCTTCAACTCCATTACTCCCAGAAGGTCCTGCTCCAAGTTCTGATACAGACTCTCCTTCCAAGTCTAGAGAGGATACTGAATTGGAGCGATTTGATGGACCTAGAGAAATGTTTATATTGTAAGTGAGCTTTTTAAAAGTAATGAGCCACCATACAACTTTTCATGCCTTCATAACAGACTGAAGACTGATTAAGGTACATTTATTTCTATATATGTATTTATTTGAGAGAGAGAGAGAGAGAGAGTATACGAGCAGGGGGCATGGGGAGAGGCGGAGGGAGAGAGAGAATCTCAAGCAGAGTCCTTGCTGAGCATGCTGGATGCAGGGCTTGATACCACAACCCCGAGATCATGACTTCAACCGAAATCAAGAGCCAGATGCTTAACCAACTGAGCCACCCAGGGGCCCCAAGGTGCTTTTATTTATGTACTTATTTTTATTAAGGTGCTTTTAAAAAATTTTTATTTATTTTGGGGGGGGGAGAGGGAGAGGGAGAGAGAATCTTAAGAAGGCTCCATGCCCAGTACGGAGCCCAACACAGGGTGCAATCTAACTACCCTGAGATCATGACCTGAGCCGAACTCAAGAGTGGGATGCTTAACTAACTGAGCCACCCAGGTGTCCCAAGGTGCTTTTAATACTGCATCCATACCTTAAAAATACACACGCCCTTTAAGCCAGCAATTGTGATAAATTGTGATAAATTCTAGAAATTTATCCTAGGAAACAATTCAAAAATTCATCGAAAGTTGCTTGTCAAAAGGCTTTTTTCTTTTTTTAAAGATTTTATTTATTTGACAGAGAGAGCACAAGCAGAGGGAGAGAGAGGGAGAAGCAGGCTCCCTGCTCAGCAAGGAGCCCAATGTGGGACTCGATCCCAGGATCCTGGGATCATGACCTGGGCCGAAGGCAGCTGCTTAACCAACTGAGCCACCCAGGCGGCCCTCAAAGGGCTTTTTATAATGCTTGAAAAGCAGAAACAATCTATATGTTTAATCATATAAGAATGTTTAAATTATCCCCACTTGAAGTTAAAGAAAAAAAAACCATTAAGAACCTAAGATATTTAACAATGTTAAATTACAAAGGGAAATGTCACTGCTATACTTTAAACAAAAAAGGGTTACAAAACAACATAAACCTACTTTTGCTATAAATAAACCAAAATGCTGTTATTAATAGAATGGTAGGGGCTCCTGGGTGGCTCAGTCGGTTAAGCATCCAACACTTAATCTCAGCTCAGGTCTTGATCTCAGGGTCATAATTTCAAGCCCCATGTTGGGCTCCACACCCAAGAAAAAAACACAGAATGGTAAAATTACAGATGATTCCATTTCTTTTCTGCATTTTCTAGAATGAATGTACATTACTTCTAAAAAGTCAAAGAAAAAGGGAAAGCTATTATGTTTTGTTTAAAATGATAGTAAACTTAGGACGCCTGTGTGGCTTTGTCGGTTAAGTGTCTGCCTTCAGCTCAGGTCATGATCCCAGGGTTCTGGGATCAAGTCCTACATCGGGCTCCTTGCTCAGCAGGAAGCCTGCTTCTCCCTCTACTGCTCCCCCTGCTTGTGCGCGCTCTGTCTCTTCCTCTGACAAATAAATAAAATCTTTAAAAAATTAAAATCTTTAAAATAAATAAAAACAGTAAACTCAACTTTCTTCATTAAAAAAGTCTGTCCTCATACATGAAATGACAAATTCTCACTTCACAATCTACCCTTTTAATTTTCTAATATTACTCCATTTCCATTGTATCTTCCTGCTTCATAAAGGTGTATGTGTATGAAAAAATATGGAACATTAAAAGTATACACAACATCCTAAAATACTAGTGAGTCCATTTTTCCCATCTAGACATGCACTATATCCCTCTAAAGGAGCTCCATAAGCTTTGGTATACATTAATTAATACTAGAGAAACTTGGCATTATTCAAGTCTCAATGAAGACTTGTATCTTCTCCATTTTATATGATCAAAGGTCTCTTGCAATCTTTTTAAATTTTTTTCTTGCAATCTTAATTTATTCCAGAAACAATCTTTATAGCCAACTGTTCAAGATCATTAGAGGAAAACTTCATTACTCTCCTCAGGTTGAGGAACAGATGGTATAATTATAATTTATAAGGCTCCTTTAAAGATCACAAAACAAAGTATTACTTGAATCACACAACTCTTTGAATGAAGTAACCCTTCACCTTCAGATATTCCTTCCAGATTATCACTGCAGAGGGAAAAGCGCAAGGTTTTATCAGGTTTACCGTGGAGTTTGTTTTCATCGACAGGGACATCTCCTTGTCCTCCATCTGAAAGTTGCATGTTTAGGACCTGAAAAATAAAATGCCAAAAAAAATAAATAAATAAAAATAAAAAAATAAAAAATAAAATGTCATTGGTTTATCAGAACTGAAAGATTACTAATAGGAAAACAGACCACAGCAAATGCATATTTACGTTCTTCTTAATCTTAAATTCTCATTTTTAACTAAAAACCCATTCACAAGATTCTGATCAAGCTTTTAAGTACCCTTAGAATAAAAGTAGATCAGTTAAAACAAAAGTGAACCTATGCCCTTCCATCACCCGGTATCAGAGACTGAACAGGCAATCAGGTATCAGTGAGCAATGGGTAGGATTATAACAATCAAAAGGCTTTGGAATCAGCAAGCTGGTGGTCCTTCTGGCTCTGCCATGTGCCAACTCTGTAATCTTGGGTAAGGGATTTAAGCTTTATCTTTAAAGAGTCATGGTAACAGTATTCATGCCATGGCGTTTTTGAGGATTAAATTAAAAAATGCACAGAAAGCATTCTGCATAGCAAAATGACATTAAATTTGCAGTACATTTTTTCGAAAGTTAGTAAGCTAATTTAACAGGAAGAAAACATAGGAACAAATTATCTTGTAGGCACCAGAATTCAATCAATCCAGTTTGAACCTTGTCTCGATCACCATATACACAGTCACAAAAGTCCATACCAGAAGCTGAAGTGTGACTTCACAGCCATCTCTAGCTTAGAGCTGATGGCCTTTTTACAAGGTTTCTATTTGTTAGATGACTTCCAAATAACAGAATTACTTTTCACTACACACAAGCCTCATAACTCAGCTGTAAACATGTATCTCCAACCTAATGAAGAACTGAGTGCTTTGCTGAAAATCTAATAGCATGTTTAAGCACACCTGGAACTCAAAATCACAGCCACTGGGATCCTAGGCTGTTGGCAGAATATGAAGGAAGAATAGTCTCCTCACTTAAAAAGAAGAAAAATTTAAAAACCCAAAAACCTCTAGGTGCTGTTTTGGCCCTGCATTTAAATGAGTAAATTAAAGGGTTTTTTTAATGGCTCTATACCTTTATTCATGTGATGCTTTTAAAAAGCCATTTAAAAATAAGAGTTATTTTGGGGTGCCTGGGTGCTCAGCTGGTTAAGCGTCTGACTCTTGTTTTTGGCTCAGGTCATGATTTCAGGGTTGTGAGATGGAGCCCCATGTCCAGCTCTGTGCTGGGTGTGGATTCTGCTTAAGATTCTCTCTCTCCCGGGGTGTCTGGGTGGCTCAGTGGGTTAAGTGTCTACCTTTGGCTCAGGTCATGATCTCAGGGTCCTGGGATCGAGCAGCATGTCGGGCTCCTTGCTCAGTGGGGAGTCTGCTTTTCCCTCTCTCTCTGCCCCTTCTCCCCTCCCCCTGCTGGTGTTCTCTCTCTCTCTCTCAAATAAATAAAATCTTTAAAAAAAAAAAAATCTCTTCCTCTCCCTCTGCTCCTCCCCCCTCCCTCCCTCTCAAATAAAGATAGAATTATTTTCCTATTTGCTTGAAATTAAATGCAGACATAAAATTTTTATATTTTGTATTTTTAAGATAACTTGGTACTTTAAACTCATAGTGAGCAACATACAAAGAATCTTCAGGAAAAATCTATCTAAAGGCCTAGAAAATGATAAGATTAACATCAAACAAAAGGCTCATACCATAATGAAGATATTTCCCTGCACAGGGATTCGAGGCTGCCAGAGCTGGGAAATGGAGGGAGGTTAACACGGGAAGGTAAAATGCCACAGAGCTCCCTGACTGAAATTCAACAGTTGTTTCTCCTCATTCAACATTCCCCTAGATGTTAAAAGTTCATTACATTCCAGAGTTCCTAAAAAGTTAATTCAGACAGTTTTTGCCAGCTCATTTGTGTGCGTGTGTGTGTGTGTACATACAGAGTTCTGGAGTTTGACAGAACTCTTTCCTAACGGTCATGGCACACACAGTTCCAAATATGGCTGTATCAACCACTATCATCATTTCATCGGCCACTAGAACTGGTCCCTTTGTTCCAGGTCATGAATAGGTTTTCTTTTTTTAAAGATTTTATTTATTTGACAGAGAGATAGAGCCAGAGAGCACAAGCAGAGGAAATGACAGAGGGAGAGGGAGAAGCAGGCTCTGCACTGAGCAGGGAGCCCGAAGCGGGACTTGATCCTAGGACTCTGGGATCATGACCTGAGCCAAAGGCTGATGCTTAACTATGTGAGCCACCCAGGCGCCCCATGAATAGGTTTTCTCGACTAATAAGCAGTCCGTGTTGAATATAAAATGTTGCTTCTTTTTGATTTCTTCATTCTTTTTGCCTCTGTCCCAAGCTCTTCTGTTTACAAATATCTTAAAAGCGATGCCCACATCCCAAGACCATTTCTTCAAAATATTTTACTTTCTTAGTTTTCAGTTCTGTCTTCCATTTCTTCCTAATCAACCAAAGAACAGAGTATTTCTAAAGAATGTCTCGCTTTCTAAAGCAAGAATACCACTATATCATTAGAAAGAAAAGAAACAAAAAACATTTCCTAGAGGTCACTGGAAAAGTCTTTTCAATTTCCATACTACAATTTCCTGGCTTCCTGTCTCTTCTATACAATGAGGAAAATTCCTTTTGGTGTAGACCTAATCACCAACTACCATGCCATCAATTCAATATATTGATGTGAAAGGCCCCCAGAACTATTCACAGGGAGTTTGGCATTTAATGCACTCATTAAATGCATACTGACTTATAGAAGCAAGAGACCATGAATGAGAAAAAAAAGAACCTAATTCCTTAATATTGATGGCTATAAGTTAAATTAACAATACATTCATACCTCATTTTCCGACATCATCCCTGGAGTGAGTTGGGGACCTGTCCCTAAGGAAATGACCAACACCTCTTCTGGCTGTACTTCCTGGATGGTTTCTTGAGATGACCCTTCATGGTCCATATGTAAGTCCATTAGCACATTGGTGCGGCTTCTACTTCGAGTTGCTAATAAAAAAATTTTCAAATATGATAATTTAGAGGACAAGACAAGATGAAGAAAATGGTAAATACAAAAATGTATCTTCTATTAATGTAGGACATTTGCACATGCACAAAAAGAGTGGTGAGAATATGAATTTAAAAAAAAAAACCCAACATCTTCCCAGTTACTCTGATGACTGACAAAGATTCTCCTTCAAAACTGATAGAAACAATAGTCTATGTGTATCTGACATCGAGTGACACACAGATGAGCACACCTGCAGAACAGCAAACACATCTCTCAACTTAAGGCTTGCTACCTTATTTCTTATCAAGATACCTTCAACTATTTCTCCTATAAAAGGATTTAACTGCCACTGAACTTACAAGCATCAAAAAATCCATACAGAAATCTGAGAGCCATATAAAGTAATATATGCTAACTGGACAACCACTGACAAAATCAGAATCAGTTTTTGAAGACACACTGATTTTTCCTGAAATGTACTAATCTCCTTCCAAAAATGCAGGAAAAAAGACTTCCCTTCTGCTTTATAGAAACATTCTAAATTAATGAAAAATCTAATTATTTTGGGGTGCTTTTTTCTGTAAGTAAGCAAGTTTTACCTATTAAGTAAAAACAAGTAATACTTTTTTTCTAAAATAATCATCCTACACATCTTACAAGAACTTTTAGATACTGAAAGATTTAGATAGTTTGACAATTTCTCTATGAGTTTAAGTCTTCCGTGATAAGCTTCAAATTTCTTTCAGAGGGCAGTAAAATTCAGTACAACTGGAATACTAAATAGAAATTCTACTTCAGTGCAAAATAATCAAAAGCACGGACATAAAGCAAAAACACTCTATAATAACAAAAGTCTTTCAACTTCACTTTGAGTGAAAGCTGACCTACTTGAAGACAGAAATATAAAGAATCCTCTTCCAGCACCTGGGGGCTCAGTCGGTTGAGCTTCTGACTCTTGGTTTCTTGGTTTTGGCTCAAGTCATGATCTCAGGATTGTTGGATTGAGCCCCATGCCAAGCTCTGCGCTCAGCGGGGAGTCGGCTTGAGCTTCTTTCCCATTCCCTCTCTCTCTGCCCCTCCCCACCCCGTGTGTGCACCCACTCTAATAAATAAATAAATCTTAAAAAAAAAATATAGAGAGAGTCCTCTACACAATGCTGTAGATCTGTTCATTAATCACTCTTACTTTCAAAATCCAGAGTACAGATCAATTTCCAAAAGTCGAACACAGGCTCACTCCCACCTTTTATTTGCTGACCCTCACTCACTGTCTTCTACTGAACTGTGAACTTAAATCCAACTTTATGAACAACTACATGAATCTTAAGCAACAAACCTTATAATTTATAAAAATGCAAGTAATCAAAATCCATGTAGCAATTTACATAAAGCAAAAGCAACATGCACATGGAGCACACTTTCATAAACTATTTCTTAAATGAAAGTTATATAAGAAGAGGAAGAACAGCCTATTACCCACCAAATGGGGTTACTAGAGTAATATGAGCAGTGAGATTGGTGGCTGAGGAATCCCAGGCAGTGATGGCTGCTAACTGTTGTCCTGGGTTGCAAAAGCATTAAACAGAAAGAAAATCAACCCTCTGAATAATGGACACATTTTTTAAAAATATGAAATAAATTCAATGACCAGGTCATATGACTATACAAAGTAATAGTGGGCAAACATTTGAAGTTTACTTTCCATTATACCCATATTTAATGATACTTAGAGATGACGAGAAATGAAAGAATTAATGTACAGGAGTGAATAATGGAGGAAAAATCTCTGATTTACTAAAAATCATTTATTTCTTCATCTTAAAAAAGTGAAAACAGGTTATAATATTAAAAATAACTGAGTGCTGGGACGCCTGGGTGGCTCAGTCAGTTAAGCGTCTGCCTTCAGCTCAGGTCATGATCCCAGGGTCCTGGGATCGAGTCCCACATCGGGCTCCTTGCTCGGCGGGGAGCCTGCTTCTCCCTCTGCCTGCCACTCCTCCTGCTTGTACTGTCACTCACTCTCTCTCTAGCAAATAAACAAAATCTTAAAAATAAATAAGTAAATAACTGAGTGCTGGGGCACCTGGGTGGCTAGTTGGTTAAGTGCCCAACTCTTGATTTCAGTTCAGGCTGTGATCTCAGGGTTGTGAGATCGAGCCCCACATCAGGCCCCACGTTCAATGGGGAGTCTGCTTCTCTCTCTCTCCCTCTGCCCCCTGCCCTGCTCATGTGCTCCCACTCCCTTTCTCTTTCTCTAAAATAAATATTTTTAAAAAATCACTGAGTGTCAAACTTCATTTTTTTTCTATTTTCAATTCTGAAAACTGACATTTTGGGATGATGAAAGCCAAAGACTTGAAGAATATGATGCCATATGTTTGTTGATGATATTATTCCATATTAGGTTAAATGTAAGATGGATTAATTTTAAGAAACTGTCAGTTCTTAACAAACCAGCTCATGGAAGTTTGAAAATGAAATCCCATTCTTCAAAATGTGTAAAATAAAGTAACTATTAATGTTCACTAACTGTTGCTAAGCTCATTTTCATTAAAAAATTGGCACTGAAACACTGCTCCCTTGGCCTAAACACTCTTTCTCTCCCTCTCTGGTCTAGTTTGCCTCACTCCCATTCATCCTTCAAGAGAAAGTATAAGCTTTACTGTCTCCAGGATCTTCTCCTGACACTATCACCAACATGGGTGCCCCATAAGCCTCCATGTATGCTTATCTCCATCAAACACAGCATAATGACGGCAATTGGTCTCCTCTTATTCTCCCCAACTAGACTATCAGCAACTACCAGAGCAACGGCATATCCTAACGGTCTTTGTATCCCCAGTGTCTAACACGGTGCCCCCCATGCAGGATAGTGATTACACCTACTCTTTCTGCATGGATTTTTTTGCATGAATTAAATGAAACAACACCTATAAAGTGCTCATCCAGAGTCTGGTACAGAGTACATGGTAATGCTAAATATGTATGTGTATAGATAACAGATGTTTACTAAGTTAATAAAACTTAATTAAACCCGGGCGCCTGGGTGGCTCAGTTGGTTGGGCGACTGCCTTCGGCTCAGGTCATGATCCTGGAGTCCCGGGATCGAGTCCCGCATCGGGCTCCCTGCTCAGCGGGGAGTCTGCTTCTCCCTCTGACCCTCTTCCCTCTCATGCTCTCTATCTCTCATTCTCTCTCTCAAATAAATAAATAAAATCTTTAAAAGATAAAGCTAAAGCCTACACATAAACCTTAACTGGTGAAATTTTTTAAAATTGTATTAGTATCAGTAAACACAAAGGGAAAGGCTTTCCCAAATTATTTAAAACCGTATTCCAAAACACTGAGCAGTAATGAAGGCCAATAAAAAAATACTAAATTTAAGGGAAACCCCGAATATGAGAAATGCTCTTTACCTATAGGCAATCGATTCTTTTTATTTGCTGGAGTGGTTGCTGGAGACAGCTGAGGAGTATTATAGGGAGTCATTTCCAAACTGCTGCTTTTTCCTGGCTTTGCCTGGGGCAGGTTTGCCAATAAATTGTCAAGAGCCATCCTATCTTCTCTCAGTTGATCTCCAGACATCACACTCTTCATAAAATTCACCTGGCAAAGGTAAAAGGACATTAGCTAGTGAGATCAATTTTTCAAACACAGTATCTATTTCTCACACAATGTACTCATCTATGACTCTGCCCATGCTTAGATAAATTACTTTTGAGAAAATCCTATTAAAGAATAAGGCCATTACCAGAGTAATAAGCTGACTATAGGTTATATAAACCACAGTTCTGCTCAATCCTTCCAGAAGATTAACGGAGGACATTGGAGGGGTCTCCACTGCACGGCCCCCAATCACAACATCAAGAAAAGCAGCAACACAGCTCTGTTAAACAGGAAAAGATCACAGTGAAATATTTCCTCTTTAAAATAAGGGGACAACATTTCTGGTTAAGGTAGACAAGCATGCAAAAGTTTTTCTTCTTGAAAATTATATTAAATCCAACAATGAAAAAGTTGAACTCTTTTTGAATTGACATAGAATTGTCTCCATGAAATTCTGGTATGTGAAACAAACATGACACAGAACAGTGCACATTCCCCTACCATTTGTGAAAAGGGATGGACGGGGTGACTGGGAAAACATATGTAACAATTTGCTTGTATACATATAGAACTCTTGAAGAAAACAAGAAAGACTGAGAACATTGAGAACCTTTTGGGGAGGAAATAAAGGTTAGAGATCAGAGGTGAAAGTGGAATTTCACTATATAACCTCTGAATTTTAAATAAGGCTGAATGGGGTGGGGCGCCTGGGTGGCTCAGTTGTTAAGTGTCCACCTTCGGCTCAGGTCATGATCCCAGGGTTCTGGGATCGAGTCCCACATCGGGCTCCCTGCTCAGCGGGAAGCCTGCTTCTCCCTCTCCCACTCCCCCTGCTTGTGTTCCCTCTCTCGCTGTCTTTCTCTCTGTTGAAAAATAAATAAAATCTTAAGATAAATAAATAAATAAATAAATAAATAAGGCTGAATGTATAGCCTACTCAAATATGATTAAAATCTAATTTAACTGAACAATGCTATAAAACATATTTATGAAATACACTTAAAATTATACAATTGTCACTGATTTGCTTCTGTGATTTTTTTAATTACACTATTTAAAGATTCATCCATTTTAGAGAGAGAGAGAGTGTACGCATGTGTGCACACACATGCACTCAGTGGGGAGGGACAGAAGGGAAGGGACAGGGAGAGACTCTAAAGCAGATCCCGGCTGAGCACAGAGCCTAACCTGGGCCAATCTCAGGACCGTGAGATCATGATCCGAACAGAACCCCAAAATCAGACACTCAACTGACTGAGCCACCCTATTTAAGACTTTTTTTTTTTAAAGTAATCTCTGTGCCCGGGGAGCCTGGACAGCTCATTGGACTCCTTGTTTCTGCTCTGATCAGGATCTCGGGGTCATGGGATTCAGCCCCATATGGGGCTCTACACTTAGCATGAAGTCTACTTGAAATTCTTTCCCCCTCCCTCTCCCTCTGCTCCTCCCCCTGCCTGCATATGCACGCCCTCTCTAAATAAATAAATAAATAAAGTATTTAAAGTAATCTCTACATCCAACATGGGGCTAGAACTCCAACCCCGAGATCAAGAGTTGCATGCTCTACTGAGCCAGCCAGGCGCCTTATCAAATTTTTAAAATAAAATAATCTTAAAAGCTCTTGGCTCTCATTACAGTGGCATCTCCTCAACACTTCAATTAAGTGAGAATTAGTAATCTTTAGTTACATCTTCCTTTAAATGCTGCTGATCCAACATTGTATTCTCTATAGCTATACCAAGGGTAATTGGAAAGAGTAATTTATTCTTAATAAATTAAAGGACAAGATTTAAGAAAGACAATAGTTAAGTTCACTAATACTTTGGCAAAATTTTCTATAAATGGTATTTCACACAAGATAGTATTCATTCTTACTTTGTCAAATTTTCCAAGGCTGCTCTTTGTCCGGGGATCTCCCTCTTCAGAGCCGGTCATTGCCAATTGCTGTAAAAGGCGGCCAACCTGTAACCCAAAGCAGTAGTTGGGAGACATGGGCTATAGATACTTACAAATTCTTCTCTATGAAACTGCTTCCATTCTAGTCTAAAAAGCTGTTTCATAATAATATTTACACCATCTGACCAGGCACGCAAAGTACGGTCCCAAATTAAATGTGTATCTTCTCTACGTCAGCTTTTACTATATTTAGAGTTATAGACAATAAATAGAAAATTTTATTTTTAACATTACAATATGGAATAAAAATGTAATACCTTTGTTTCTGGTATTATACCTTTCATACATTTAGGAATTTTAAAATTCACTGCAAAAGTTGATTCAAATTACCTGAAGTTAATATTAAGTACTTTTCCCTTTATAGTTCACAAAATTCTCAAAGTAGAATTTTTTTTATAGATTTAAAAAACCCTACAGAACAGAGCTGCTTGGAAAGTAAATGTTAATTCACAGAGCAAGTTCCTTACTGGTAAAAGAACTGTTAATCTACTCTCTTTACTTTTTTTTAGATTTATTTATTTATTTCAGAAGAGGCAGGAGGGACAGAGGGAGAGAGAGAGTCTCAAGCTGACTCCCCAGTGAGCACAGAGCCCAACATGGGGCTCGATCTCACAAACCTGAGATCATGACCTGAGCCAAAATCAAGAGTCGGACGCTTATCGATTGAGCCACCCAGGTGACCCTAATCTACTCTTTAAAGACACTTTGGGGAAAGCTCGCATCATACAGTATCATCTTAATATCTGGTACAATTCCCTTTTTTACTCATTTTGAGAAAATAAGTGATTCAATCTCTACTGGAATGACAAAAATAAAAACCTACAACTACACTACCTTAAGAATAAATTTACTGTTTCATAGATGATAAGAAACTTTAAATTTTATTTTGGGGATTTTTATATAGTTAATTGCTAAACATACCAACATAAGAGAAATGACCATGGGAAGAAAAAACTTATTATTAAAAAAACATCATCCAGGGGTGCCCAGGTGGCTCAGTCACTGGGCGTCTGCCTTCGGCTCGGGTCATGATCTCAGGGTCCCGGGATGCAGCCCCGTATCAGGCTCCCTGCTCCGCGGGAGGCCTGCTTCTCCCTCTCCCACTCCCCCTGCTTGTGTTCCTGCTCTCTCTCTCTCTCTAATAAATAAAATCTTTAAAAAAAAAATACCATCCAAAGATATATTATATTCTAAATAAACTCAGTTTCTTCTTTACAGTATTTCTGGAGGATAGGATATGATTAAAAGATTCCCTTATGAAATAATAACATGGGAGTGGCTGGGTGTGGCTCAGTCAGTACAGTGTCCGACTCTTGATTTCAGCTCAGGTCATGATCTCAGGGTGGTGAGATCCAGCCCTACATCGGGCTCTGCACTGGGCGTGGAGCCTGCTTAGGATTCTCTCTCTCCCCCCCTCTCTCCTTCTGCCCCTCCCCCCTCCTCTTCTCTAAAAAAAAATAAGTAACATGATTTCAGTAGTTCTCATGATAAAGGGGAAAAGTGCTAACATAAATCCAAAACCCCTCTTTCTGAAACTGAGGTCCAGAAGAGTTTCAGATTTCAAAATCTGAAGATTTTAGAAAGGTTGATTAGTGCATACATGTAAAATAGGCAGTATTAAGGGTAGCATCCTGTAATCAAATGTATTAGCATTTCTGCAGCAAAACATGAGCATTCATGCCCTAAAAGGAATAACTAGCAGTGATAAATAGTCTCATGTTAGTTCAAGTCAGGTTTTGCTACCAAATAATGTATAAAAGATGATGTATAAATATGTATAAATATTTTCAATCACGCTGGGTTTTGAAATCACAGGAAAGGGATGGTGGCCCTGTTCTAGAAAATCTAATCAACTAGGGGTACCTGGGTGGTTCAGTTGGTTAAGCATCTGCCTTCAGCTCAAGTCATGATCCTGGAGTCCCAGATCAAGCCCCACATCAGGCTCCCTGCTCAGCAGGGAGTCGCTTCTCCATCTCCCTCTGTTCCACCCCAACTTGTCCTCTCACACTCTCTCTCAAATAAATAAAAATTTAAAAATTAAAAATAATAAATAAAAGTAAATAAATAAAAACTAACAAAAGGGGCACTTAGGTGGCTCAGTTGGTTAGGCATCTGACTCTTGGTTTCGGCTCAGGTCATGGTATCAGAGTCCTGGGATCGAGCCCCACGTTGGGATCCAAGCCCAGTGGGGAGTCTGCTCGAGGATTTCTTTCCCTCTCCCTCTGTCCCTCCCCTCACTCATGTGTTCTCCCTCTCTCTCTAAAATAAATAAATCTTTGGGGAACTAACAAAATATATACATTTTTAAGATTTTATTTATTTATTTGACAGAGAGAGAGAGAGACAGCAAGCACAAGCAGGTGGAGTTGGCAAGCAGAGGGACAGGGAGAAGCAGGCTCCCCGCAGCAGAGAGCTCGACTCAGGGCTTGATCCCAGGACCCTGGGATCATGACTTGAGCTGAAGGCAGATGCTTAACAGACTGAGACACCCAGATGCCCCAAAAACTAACAAAATATTTTATGACTACAATATTTTTAAATCCCAATATAACTGCTTTTATTTTTTTATTTCTTTCAGAGAGAGTGTGTGTGCGTGTGCACGCACATGCGTGCACAAGCGCAGGGCGGGAGGCAGCAAAGGGAGAGACTCTCAAGCAGACTCTCCGCTGAAGGTGGAGCTGGACCTCGGAGCTCAAAGCAGGGCTCAATCCCACAACCCTGAGATCATGACACGAGCTGAAACCAAGAGTGGGACACTCAACTTGACTGAACCACCCAGGTGTCCCATAACCGCTTTTTTTTCTTAAGAAGCAAATATTTAAGCCAATTTGAGGAAAGGAAATGGTAAGAATATATACATATTGTCATATTTTCTGTTCCATCCCACTACTCACTCAACTGATTTTCAACTGAATGCTGTATTAATGATAATAGCAAAAGCATACCTGCATCAGATTAAATCTTGCCACCTCATTAATAGGAGCATCAGAAATTATTCCATACTGTTCTGGATTGACAACTGCAGGACAAATGAAGCAGGCCAACAGGAGATCTGTACACATTGCCCTGACCTCCCCAACTTCCAGTCTATCTACACAGGAGAGGGTTTTGTACATCTGTGACACAATCCACCTCAAACTATGTGGAAAGCAGTATGTGTTCTGTTTGAGATAACCAATAAACTTGTTCACCAGAGCCACCAGTTTGGCCTCATTGGAATCCACCATCTCTTGAACCTTTTGCTTGAATCTATCTGAGCCTTTCTCTCCAAAGAGTTTTTCCTGTTGTAATGGGGAGAACCTATCAATTAGCTTGTTTGGATCTGTTTCCAGGTGATCTTCATCTTCAACAAGCAGCTGCATGATTGGCTCATGTAAAGTAGCTGTGAGGAAAAGTTTGGCAGAAAACAGTCCTTCAGAAAAAAGTTTAAATAAGATGCTGAAGGCACAAGTTCCCCTCCTCAAAAGTCGCCTGGGGTTGTCACTTTCTTTAAGTTCAAATTCAATCAAGTATCTCAAAACCTGAAGGAGGTAGCTTTCATCTTCTTGCATAATGCAGTTGCCATAGAGGGAGGTAAAAACTGTGTAAATAACACTTTGTGTGTTCTCCTGATTAAGTTTCTCCCCAGCAACCAAAGAGGAGGCAATAAGACGAGGATTCTCCCTTAACCGACTCAAGAACTCTCCATAAGCAGTCTCCTGAAATCCCAGTTGCTTATATCCATCAACAAACTGTGTATCTTCCAAAATCTTGGCATGTTGGCAACATTCAGCAGGGGAAGCTTCAGCACTAAAAAATGAGCAAACAAGCAAAACAATAAAATCAATAAAAATAATACAATACATATATTCCATTGAAACCTGGAAATGTAGATTGATTATAGTCCTAGCAATGCGATCACCCCAAACTGCTCAAATCTTTGAGCATCTGAACATGTAAAGAAAGGCAAAACCAAAAAGTACAAAGGAGGACAAATTCATCCTAGTAAATCAGGTTCAATGAAAAATAGCAAAAAATAACCATTCTTCTGATTTCTATGATCAAAGATCAGTCCTGTTTTCAGCTTCACATAAATGGAATCATACAGTATGTACTTTTCTGTATCTGCCTCCTTTTCTCAAAATTATACCTTAGTACTACTCTTAGAGCTAAAAACTACTTCTTGAAACAACAGAATAAGGTATTAACACAGTGAAAAAGAGGTTTCTTTTTTTTTTTTAAGATTTATTCATTTATTTTGAGAGAGTGAGAGACACAGAGAGAGCACATGAGAGGGGGGAGGGTCAGCGGGAGAAGCAGGCTCCTCGCCGAGCAGGGAGCCCGATGTGGGACTCGATCCCGGGACTCCAGGATCATGACCTGAGCCGAAGGCAGTCGCTTAACCAACTGAGCCACCCAGGCGCCCTGAAAAAGAGGTTTCTAAAACTGAGAAGTAGGGGCACCTCGGTGGCTCAGTCGTTAAGCGGCTGCCTTCGGCTCAAGACATGATCCCAGGGTCCTGGGATCGAGCCCCGCATCGGGCTCCCTGCTCAGCAGGAAGCCTGCTTCTCCCTCTCCCACTCCCCCTACTTGTGTTCCCTCTCCCGCTCTCTGTCAAATAAGTAAAATCTTTAAAAAACAGAAATAAAACTGGGAAGTAGAGGGCGCCTGGGTGGCTCAGTTGGTTAAGCGACTGCCTTCAGCTCAGGTCATGATCCTGGAGTCCCGGGATCGAGTCCTGCATCGGGCTCCTTGCTCAGCAGGGAGTCTGCTTCTCCCTCTGACCCTCTTCCCTCTCGTGCTCTCTGTCTCTCATTCTCTCTCTCTCAAATAAATAAATAAAATCTTTAAAAAAAAAAAACTGGGAAGTAGATATACAGAATCAAAACATGGAAATACATATAGTTGACCCGTGAACAATGTGGGAATTAGAGGCACCGACCCCCTGTGCAGTGGAAAATCCATGCATAATTTTTGACTCCCTAAACACTTAACTACTAATAGCCTACTGTTGACCAGAAGCCTTACAGATAGGGGCACCTGGGTGGCTCAGTCGTTAAGTGGCTGCCTTCGGCTCAAGGTCATGATCCCAGGGTCCTGGGATGGAGCCCCGCATTGGGCTCCCTGCTCCGCGGGAAGCCTGCTTCTCCCTCTCCCACTCCCCCTGTTTGTGTTCCCTCTCTCGCTGTGTCTGTCAATTAAATAAATAAAATCTTAAAAAAAAAAAATCCACATATAAGTGGACCCACATGGGTCAAACCAATATTCAAGGGCCAACTGTATATTAAATAATACCAGGAGAAAAGGGGAGCGACTGGCTTAATTGGTGGAGCATGTGACTCTTGATCTCGGGGTTGTGAGTTTGAGCCTGGTGTTGGGTATAGAGATTACTCAAAATAAATTGTCTTAATCTTAGTATAATAATAATAATAATAATAACAGAAAAGTACAGGGGCGCCTGGCTGGCTCAGTGGGTAGAGTGTGTGACTCTTGATCTCAGGGGAGTGAGTTCAAGCCCCACGTTGGGTGTGGAGACTACTTAAAAAAAAGAACACAAGATAATTTATTCTCAGCAACAATAAAATATTATACAAAGATACAAAATTAATTGGTGTGGTATAAAATATTAATGCATAAGTTATAATTCTCTATAAAAGGCTTAAGTTAATTAACAGACAAAATAAGCAACGACTCACCTTAACGTTGATTCAAACTATCTGAAAGCATACACTTTGTTGGAAATAGATTTATTTATTTATAGTTTGCACAGAATTACAGTGGTTCATAAAATTTAACGCCTCAAAACCTTTTTTTTTTTTACCTGGTTATGATAAGCCGATCCAAATTAATTCTCTGTTGCTTAGCAATCCATGCTGTACGATACAACTTTTCAGCTGTCTTAAGTACATCTGCATTGAGCCTCTGAATGAGCTGTTTCTCAGAGTTCACATATAAGCGTTCCTGCTTAAGGTGATGGGCCAAAGTATGAATATCCAGCTTCACCATCTTCAGATGTGGAGAAGGTACAAAGGCTGATCACTAAGAGTAAAAAGGTTTAGAAATTTTGTGTCACTTAGACTGTTTTCCAAAATCAAAACGGATAAGAGAAAACGTTAAGAATTAGGCTACATTCAGTATTATGATTAACTCTAATTTTAAAATAATCTATATATTTTTTGCAGAAGCATTACAGGTTCAGGATAGAAAAACTGGTAAATACGGATTAAGAGAAAAGAAAAAAAAAGCTCCTAGTAAGGCCACTGCTCAGAGACCGCCACAGTAAAAATGTGTGTATTTCTTTCAAGTCTAGTATCTATTTATTAGCATTAGAGTTTCCTTGACTGCTCCCTTCTACACTGCAATCAATCAACTTAACCTGTTGACTCGATCTTCAAAATTCATCTCCAATCTACTCACCACGACCATCATCATCTCTCACTCAAAGGTCTATAACCACCACTTCCTAACTGATCGCCCTGTTTCCTTTCTTGTACTACTCGAGTCTGTTCTCTACATAGCATAGAGTATTCTTTAAACTTAAGTCAGATCACCTTATTCCCTTACTAGAAACCATCCAAAGGCTTACATTACATTTAGAATGAAATCTAAAGGTTCTACCCCTGACTACTTCTCCAACCTCATCTCCTACCATTCTACCCTTGCTCACATAGCTCCAGACACACTGGCCTCCTTGCTTGAACAGGCTAAGCATGCCCCTTCCTCAAAGCCTCTTGCATTTGATGATCCCTCTGTCTGGAAGGCTGTTCCTCCAGCTCTCTTTGCACGGCGAGTACCTTTACTTCACTCAGTTCTCTCTGTTCAAATGTCTATCTAGAAAGGCTGTCTCAGATAAATCCTAAAATAGAAACTATCACTTCCTATTCCCTTTTCTGGCCTTTTTTAAAAGGACTTGCCTCTGTCTAGCATTATATTACAGATACCTATTTGCATGTTCATTATGCTGAGAGTATGGTTCCCCCACTAAAAGGTAAGGGCCACCAAGGAGGGGTAAGGCTTGTCTGTTTTATTCACTCACAGCTGTAATTTCAGGGCTGAGCAGAGCACCTGGTTCGTAGCAAGAACTGAACAAATATTTGCCAAAAGAATCAATGAAATCACACGAACTTGTTTATCTAGTAGCTAAACAAACTGATAGAAATAGCACACATATTTTAAAGCATTATTACTTAAGCTATACCCTTGAACCTAGAATGCCTGCCAGACCACACTTTTTTTTTTTTTTTTTTGAGATCCAACATGACCTGAGCTGAAGGCAGATGCTAAACAGACTGAGCCACCCAGGCACCCCTGTTTTTAGAAATTTTTAAACTCTCTTCTTTTATTTATTTATTTTTAAAGATTTTATTTATTTGACAGAGACACAGCGAGAGAGGGAACACAAGCAGGGGGAGTGGGAGAGGGAGAAACAGGCCTCCCACTGAGCAAGGAGTCCGATGTGAGGCTCAATCCCAGGACCCTGGGATCATGACCTGAGCTGAAGGCAGACGCTTAACGACTGAGCCACCCAGGCGCCCCTAAACTTTCTTATTTTAATGAACCACTGATCCCAGAGTCCTGGGATCAAGCCCTGCATCGGGCTCCCTGCTCAGTGGGAGGCCTGCTTCTCCCTCTCCCCCGCTTGTGTTCCCTCTCTCACTGTCTCTTTCTCTGTCAAATAAATAAATAAAATCTTTAAAAAAAAAAAAAAAAAAGACTAAGAAAATTTCAGATCTCACCATCTAACCTGAATCTTACTGCTTTCAAAAACTACTTTCTTGGGGCACCTGGGTGGTGCAGTCAGTTGAGCATCCAACTCTTGGTTCTGGCTCAGGTCATGATCTCAGGGTCATGAGATGGAGCCCCGAGTCAGGCTCAGTACTCATCTTGGAGTCTGCTTGCGACTCTCTCTCCCTCTCCCTCTGCACCCCCACTCGTGCTACCTCTCTCTCTCTCTCTAAAATAAATAAATCTTAAAAAAAAAAAACTTTCTTATACCTTATCAATTCCCTAGCAAACTATGCAAAGCTGTTATTCCAAATCACCTGTATCATGAAGGCCCTCATACTGCTCTCCCCTCAAAAGATAAAAGTATGGGCTCCTGGGTGGCTCAGTCAGTTGAGCATGCAACTCTTGATTTCAGCTCAGGTCATGATCTGGGGGTTGTGGGATCAAGCCCCGTGACAGGCTGTGTTCAGCGTGGGGGTCTGCTTGTCCCTCTCCCTCTGCTCCTCCCCCTCTAAGTAAATGAAATCTTTTAAAATATATATATATAAGTATGTCCACTAAGATATTGTTAAGTTAATAACAAAACCATGTGGGTACATTAAGAAAAACTGGTAACATACATATACTTATATAATTGTATTAACTCAATTTACAGAAAATTCATATATGACTTTATAGACTTCCATGTGGGAACTCTTAACATCCTCTAGGGGGCTCTAAGTACACAGACTAAGAACTATTACAGTTAATGGAAACAATACTGAAATGGGCTCTTAAAGATCTGAATGTTTCATTAATTAGTTCTGTTAGTCTGGGCACATAAAGATTATTCTCCGAACCGTGGATTTTTTTCACCCACAAAAGGGACTCAATATCTACATTTATTTTATCCGTGGTACAAGCAACATATTAGGTATTAGGAATACAAAAAGGGATAAAACCTGTGTATCCTCAAGGACTTTCTAACCTAGCAGAATGAGGCAGACATGCAAGCAAATGGCTGTCCAAAAATGTTACAGGTATCATGCTAGAAGACTGTACAATGTAGACAGAGAGGGGGAGAAAAAGAGAAGGAACCTGCACCTATTCTTAAAAGGCAAGTTGGGGAGGGGGGAGAAGATGAGTATCTGCCAGACATGAAGAGGATGGTGGGTGGGGTAGAATTCCAGATACGGGGAGTCAACCAAGCAAAGGCACAGATGTGTGTAACAAAGAGTACATTTAGAGAGCTATCCATGGCTTGCTACAGTTTGGGGGACTGTGTCTGTGTGTTCAGTGAGGTGGGGGGGGGGGGGAGGGAACGTGCATAATAAGAGATAAGGCTGCAGAGACAGAAGGTACAAAGAAGCTAGAGTTAAGAAACTTGGACCTTGCACTGTAGGTGACGGGAAGTTTTAAACAGGAAATTAACAAGGTGAAATTTATATTTGGGAGCGTAAACTCTGGCAGTAAGGAAGGGATGAGGAGGGGAGGGTGGGACCAGAAGGAGAGAGACTGAAACTGTTGACAGCCAGGAAATATGGTGGCAATGGGAAGAACAGGGCAGGTCTGAGAAATGTTACGAGACAGAAATACAAGATTTGTTAACAACAAATGGGGGAAAAGGTAAAAGTTTCCAACTCTGGGAACGAGGGTAGGTGTGGTATTAATTCACCACAGTTGAGTATTGTATGGGAAAACACGTTATCAACCGAAAATGGTGCCTTTACCCACTTCATCTTCATAACATTCCTCTGAGATAAGTGCTCTGCAGCTAAGGAAACAGGCTCAGGGATGTGAAGTAATTTGCCCAGGACCACACAAGTGAGAGATGACAGAGCCAGGACACTATTATTATTACCCTGATCTCTACAAGAATGACTCAAAAATCCTGTGGTTACTTAGGAGAGTATCTTATTTTTAAGAGACGCATGCTCAAGTATGTAAAAGCAGTGTTAGGATTTCTGCAACTTATACATGGTTCAGCAAAAAAATGAGATTTTTAAAATGCAGCAAATATAAACAACTGTTGAATCTGGGTGGAGGGTAGATGATAACCATTATACTATCCTTCAACAATTTCAGTTATGTTACAAATTTTTCATAATGAAAAAATAGGGAAAAATATTTTAGAAATTCTCAAATTGTGCCCTTCTTGCTGCTTTAATACAACTTAATTCAACAAATATATTACTGAGCTTGGCTGGAGCTTAGCCAGGTCCCCTAATCTCAAGGAGCTCACAGTCTAATTATAACCAAAATATTGTTCAAGATAGGACACATAAAATGTTTCCAATGACACAGCAAAATATGAACCAATTTATATAATTTAGAAATTAAAACCTTAAAATATAGCTTCACTTAAAAAAATTAACACATGAAAGTAATGCTCCACCTAGTCTAAACAAGAATTCACTTTCTAAATCCTTTAATAGTTCCAAATGTCTTCAAAGATACTTTAAATAAATCTAGACAAACTTGTTAAGCATTTTTTTCTTTCATCAAGTTCAAGTATTATTTGCTTTAATGCTTTTCTTTCTATAATAAGTTGGTCTGGGTGCTGCCAAAAAATAGGTAACAACTTACCCTACAAAATAATATGTTTAAAAACATTATTATTTAGGGGTGCCTGGATGGCTCAGTTAAGCGTCTTTTTTTTTTTTAAGATTGTATTTATTTATTTGAGAGAGTGAGAGAGCACAAGCAGGGGGAGCGGCAGAGGGAGAGAGAGAAGCAGGCTCCCCACTGAGCAGGGAGCCTGATGCGGGGCTCGATCCCAGGACCCTGAGATCATGACCTGAGCCGAAGGCAGATGCCCAACTGACTGAGCCACCCAGGCGCCCCAAGCATCCGACTCTTGATTTCAGCTCAGGTCATGATCTCAGGATTGTGAGATCCAGCCCTGTGTCTGGCTCCATGCTGGGTGTGGAGCCTGCTTAAAATTCTTGCTCTCCCTCTCCCTCTGCACCCCCCCCAGCCTAAAAAGTATCAGTAAACCACTGGGTAAAATGCAAGAGATTAAAAATATAAATTAACTCTGACCTATATTTTTGTCCACAGTTTCCCCAAATTAAATTCATGTTCTGAATACTTATTTTATACAACATGTAGCACATGCCAGAGTATAATATTATCTCTCTCTCTCTCCCCTTAGACTGTAAACACTGAGGGAAGGAACTCAACTTTGTGTCCTAACATAGCTGATGACAGGCAGCTCAAACATGTTAACTGAACTCAATTCAGGTAGCCCCAAGTCTACTGGCTCACACATTTTGAAAAAATACCCCTCCACACACAAATAATACCTAACAGGTCACTAAAAACAACAGTTGCAG